TTTCCACGATTACATTTATTCTCACTTATATTTAGCCACTGCTTTGTTGGGGAGAAACTTCCCTAAGTCCTTTGTGGAATGAGGCAAGATGTAAACAAAGGGTTGCTTCCCAGACTCAGAGAGGTAGGGCCGTGGACCTCTCTCCCTCTCTCTCTTAGAGTTTCAGCACCTCGGGTGGGAATAAAAGGAGATTTCTCTTCATTACTCTTCAGTGTCTCACTAGTCAGAAAGTTAATCAACAGAGCTGATAACCCCATGAATCACTGACTTCCTCTGGGTCTGGTGTATCCCAGTATACTTTGTACTGTCTCTGGTTTTTATTGGTGAGAAAGGGCAATCATCAGGCCCAGGAACAGAAGCTCTGCAGTCCTTCCAACTTGGAGAGCAGAACTTACTGGCTCCCCATCCTACACCCTCGGTCTGGAACTTAGATGACTATGTATTCTTTCATGGGTGAGCCATGCATTAACCAAGGGGTTTGCTCTGTGTAGATTTGACAGTCAAGGCCACTGCTTCAAGTGGCCTGTGAACACACACACATCTCTTACCCCCTAGGATCTGCAAATAGGGGACCCTTAGTGTGCAGTTTTCAAAAACAATTCAGAGCCCACAGTTGTGCATATTCACGTGCACACAACCCCAATCTGGGGAAAGTTTGAGGCCAGAAGAGGGTGAAGCTGAGCAGGCTTTCTAAAGACACGCCCTAAGATTCTTACCTGCTTTTCTGCAGTACAGGATGGGTAAGCTCTCAACTCAGCCACTCTAATGGTTAGCGCCTGTTTGTGCCACCTCCAAGATCCAGGTCATAAATTGCCATATTGTTGAAAATATGGACGAGTACATTTTTTTTTAAAGCTAGCATGATTTTTTTTGTTTCTACTCCCAAACAGATTCACAAATGTTTCTCTTTTTCTATCATTCCAGTGAGTTACAACATTTCCCCCTCATCATTTATGATCAAGGGTCTCCAGAGGCTGCTGGCTTATTCCCCAGATTCCTGCATTTTTTGTTGACAGGCTGGGGTTTCCATGTTCGGGCTCTTCACAGGACTGTCTGCTTGGGAGGTCAGGCAGATGGAGTCTTTAACTTGGATAAAGGATGGGTTGATGGCGCTGGTCACTGGCAGGCCAGTCCTGAAGCCCAATTCACCAGAACTAATCATGGGTATATGGTGTTGAAGATCCAAAAGGATGGTGGCTGGCACTTCCCCATCTGAGGATGGCTCTCACGGGACCGGGGAGCTGTCTGAACCCTTAGGATCGGTTCAGTGGTCCTGAGAGCCTTGGTAGTCAGTTTCACTGACATTTGGGTGACTTTGAAAGTTTAGAGTCAAAAGAGAAAGAAGAGGTGTTAAAGTTGAGTTTTAAGTGGTGGGCTGTTTCAACTTTGCATCTACGTCCATGGCACATATAATTAAAATAGAGGCTTTTTAAAAACCTGAATAATATGCCCTTTCCAGAGCAGCTTGCTGTTCTCTGAACCAGTGGTTTCTTTAGCTAATCATGCTTGCCAAACGTATTCATTGAAAAAAGAGTTCTTTCATGGTAAGGGAACATCCATGTGGAAGGAGTACATTTTATAGGGCATATTTTAATATGGGATGCCCCTACTTAAGGAGGAATTTTGTACTTATCTCATTTGTCTCACATTTTTTATTTTCCCTTGTCAAGTTTGGATGATACACTATTTTGTTTTAAATAAGAAAAATGAAGTTTTGTAGGAAAGATAAAAGGGAGATGAAAATTATTCCACGAAAGAGTATATAAAATTCTTTAACAGGATGAAGAGGCAGAAAAGAAATTTGGAAACCAACTAAAAGATACAGTTGTCTTTAATAAGGAAAGATGAGAAATTATCACACTTTAGTTGAATGAATTGCAGAGGGTTAATGTTCATATACTTACTAAATCCCAGAATGTTTGAAAAAGTACTTTTAATACAGTGAAAAGAATGCACTGTTCTTCATATTTGTACATATCTGTACATTTCATAACTCAAAAAAAACCTTGTTGGCAGTTCTGATTTAACTGGAAGAAAAACTTTTTTTGGTTTTGAGACAGGATCTCGCTATCCTCAGTTCAGGCTGGACTTGAGCTCACTTTGTAGCTCAAGATAGTCTCAAATTTGCAATGATCCTCCTGTCTTAGCCTCCTGAGTGCTGGGATTACAGGTGCACATCACCACGCCTGGCTTTAACTGGGAAATTTTTGAAGTGCCAAATGTATACTATGTGTGTCACTAGCTCCATTTCTGTACCCAAGGTAGACACTACCAATTTGTCAGGCTGTTTCTAATGAGATAGATGCACTTTCAGAATGCTTTTCAGAGCAGAGTGACCTACCGTCACCTGACTACAGATGGCCCTAGCACTGAGAACATTATGCTGTCTGTGATTTAACTACTCACAGTGTGATCTATAGACCACCAGCATGGGCATCATCAGGAGCTCATCTGGAAAACAGAATCACAGCCCTATTCTAGAGCTATTGAATCAGGAATCTGTGTTTTAGCACAATCCCTGGTAAGTCTTATGCATATTAAGCTTTAAGAAACCTGGAAGGTAAACAGAATGACTGATACATTCATTAGGGCAGGTGTTCTTGAACTGTAGTATGCATCAAAATCACTGAAGTAAGGGTTGGGGGTGTTGTTCCTGGTACAAAGTTTGTCTAGCATGGGAGACCCTGGATTCAATCCCTAGTACCTCAAAAAAAAAAAAAAAATACAGAGTTAAACATCTGTTAAAACACAGATCACTGGGCCCCACCCTGAGAGCTTTTGATTCAGTAGGGGTGGAGTGTGATTTCTGATTCCCAGCTTGTGTAGCTTTTGCGGCTCCTGGGACCACAGTTTGAGAACCACTGCATCAGAGGCATGGGAATGCTTTAGAATAGCTCCACGATCTTTTAGAAGTTGAGGGCCACAGTTTCTTTCTTTCCACAACCTTTGATACATGGGTGAGCACTACCATTCCAATGTGTCTGTCAGAATCAGAGTTCAAGGTATACTATAGCAAAACATTTAACTAAAAGGCAACACTTGCTCCTAGAGAATTGTTGCTAAACATTCATTCATTCATTCAGTAACCATTTGAACAGCTGTATAAGTGCCCAGCATTATGGTTGAAATTTAAAGCACAGTCCTAACTTCAAAGGGCTTGTTCCCTTAGCAGAGAATAAATGCATGAAGCAATAAATAACAAGTTAAATAAGGCAAGACAATAGCATAGGCAGTGGCATCAGATGTCAAAGGGCAGAGTATTAAGAAAATGTCACGGAGCACATGTGATTTAATTCCAGAAACTGGGAGAACTGCAGCCAGCTTATTATATGCCAGGGCTGTGTGCATTCCAGCCTTGCTAGGGTAGAAAGTCTGTGCATATAGAACAGATGGAAAATACGGTAGGAGGAGACGAGGTTACAGTAAAAAAAAAAAAAAAAAAAAAAAACCCTTTCTTATTTCTCAATACTGCAGAAGTAGTATAAAACTTGATCACCTTTGTGTCTTGGTCAATTCAAGCTGCACTATAAAAAACAGCAGTCATTTCTCATAGGCCTGGAAGTTGGAAGTCTGAGACCAGGCTGCAGACACAGGTTCCTGGTGAGGGTTCTCGCTGCATCCTCACCAGCAACAAGAGCTGAGGTCCACCCTGCATTGTCTCTTCTAACACAATTAACCTCAACACAGGGAGGGTTCCACAGTTATGAACTGATTACCTTTTAATACCATCCTGTGGAAGGTTGGGGTTTTAACACACTCATTCAAGGAGACACCAATATTCAATGCATATAGCAGTTGCACAATTACAAATCAAAGCCATCAGCTTTGCAGAGCAGGGTATTGAGTGGCCGAAAATGGCGACCTCTACAGCAGCAAAAAAGATGACAGACAAGACCACATGGAGATGACCAACGGGGCGAGGAGAATAACCACAATACTAGACCACAACTTACAGGTCCCCTCCACATTGCTAGGTATTTGTGCTACCGACTGACACACACTGTCTCAGTCCAGACCATGGCATAGTCCGTCGCGCAGTCACAGCTCCGCTTTACTATGTGGGAAAACACGCGTGTAGAAGAATGCATGTACGGCGGAAGAACTGCCAGTTCTAACCCAGGTTGTTCTGCGCGGAGGGGGCCCCTCGCCCTGCCTCACCAAGGGAGGGCGCTCTGGCCCACCTGGGTCGCCTCTGCTGGTGTCCACCTCTTTGAGTCAGAGAGGAACCAAAAAAGCAACTGAAAGGAGGCCAGGAACCCTGCGAATTAAAGTCGAGGAACCTGTGGGGCCGGTGCATCCCGAGATCTAGGCGGGGAGGAAGTGCTGCACAAAATGCTGAAAGGCTTGGCACGGGCCTACCAGGGTCATGCAGCTTCTCCGGCCGGCGGCCTCGGCCACTCTAATTACCGAGTCTGTAGTAAATTTCGAGGAGGAGCTGAGCTGCGGCGCGAAGCTTCCCTAAGCATCACATTTGCCTATAAATACTTCAAATAGTTCAGTGAAACGTGCAACCTTTGAAAACTGGAAAGGAAGCTGTTGGGAGGCCCCGGGCCCGCCTGGAAGAGCAGGCGGGGAAGAGGTTGGCGGGTCCTTACGCGGGATTCGCGGATCCGCCCCGACGCTGAGCAGCCGGGGGGCCGCGGGGTGCGGGCGCGCCTCCAGAAGGCGCGGACCGTTAAGGTGACACGAGGAATTTGAAAAGCAAACGAACTTCCCCGAACCGTGCCCGCGGGCCCCCGAGGCGGGCGTTCTCGTTCGAAAGGGCATTTTTCAAAAGGCGGCTTCCGCACTGCGCCGCGCGGGAGGTCAGCCCGCCGGGGGGCGCGCGCCGAGCACCGCCCGCGTCCGTCGGCTTTGTACCCGCGGCCAGAGCGCCCCAGAGTTTCCGCGGCGACCCGGAGTAGAGACCACACCCCCTTTGCAGGGAGAACCGCGGCCGCGGATTGGCGCGCTGCGCACCAATGGGCTCGCGCGGGGCGGTCCCCGCTGTCAGCGCGCGCCGCAGCCACCGCGCCGGCCGCAGCCCGTTCTCTCCCGCGCCGAGCCCCGCAGCCTTCGCCGCCTCCCCGGGAAGCAGCGCGGCGGCCGCTCGCGAGCGCACCCCTGCCCAGCCTGCTGTCCAGCCCACGGCCACGGCCTCGCTGCACTAGAGCGCACGGAGCATGTGCAGATCCACAGGCGCTGCGGTGCTAACAGGCGCTCTCCGGCAGCGGTGACTGACTGTCACGCCGAGAGAGACCTCTCGGGGGCTCTTACCGCGCCTCTGCTGCGTAGCAGGTGACACTGCGGTGCTTGCGACCCTGGTGACCGCCGCCTCTCGGTGGAGACGTCTCGGCCCCGTGCGCCTTCCCTCCCTGTCTCTCCTCGCTGGCTCTTGGCCTCGCCTGCTCACCCCCGCGACCGCTGGAGCGCAACGCGTGCGTCCCTTTGCCTTTGCCTGTTCCAAGACCGCCTCCCCACTTCGAAGATGCAGTGACTAGTTACAGTACTATGGGCGTCCGAACCTCGGCTCCCCAGGTGGAAAATTACCAGAGGCAGCGCTCCCTGAACGCCCAGAGCTCCTGAGCAAGCCAGCTGTAGCGTCCGTCCAGGTGGGACCCGTCGAGCGCAAAACCGGGTCCCCTGCGCACCCCCGCACGCCAGATCGCTCGACTTCCCCACCCCGGGGTTCTCTTTTTTCTCCCCTGGTGGTGGGCGCCTCGTGGGCCGAGGCCCGGCGCCTGCTCCATTGCCCGCGCTGCCTTTAGCGGTTGCCCCCGCCGCCGCTGCCAGGGACGTGCTGGGAAAGCCGAAGCCCCGGGAGAAGATGCCGGCCATCCTGGTAGCCTCCAAGATGAAGTCGGGACTGCCCAAACCGGTGCACAGTGCCGCGCCCATCCTTCACGTGCCCCCGGCCCGGGCTGGCCCCCAACCCTGCTACCTTAAGTTGGGGAGTAAGGTGGAGGTGAGCAAGACCACCTACCCGAGCCAGATTCCCCTGAAATCGCAGGGGCTGCAGGAGCCGGCAGGGGAGGTGCTTCCGCTACGGAAGAGCGGCTCGGTCGAAAACGGGTTCGATACCCAGGTGAGAAGGGCGATGCGCTTGTGGGATGACTATTGGTTTTCTCGGGGGAGGGCACGGGTAGATGGGGGAGGGGGCTTCCATGTGGGTGGAGAGGGCAACACGTCCCCCTAGGCTGGCAGGTTGGTGCTGCGCGAGGAGAGTGGGCCGGTAGTGGGTGTGGCCCAGGAGCCCAGGCTGCCTACAGAGCTCTGGGAGACTCAGGGTGCGGGCTTGGCTGCAGCGTCGCGTGGGGTAGGAGGGGGCGTAAAGCCCGAGTGATCTCAAAAAGGAGTGTGCAGACCTGAAAATGTCAGGTTCTGCCTGTGGAGGGGTTGGCCCCAGGAAAGCAGTGTCTGCTGCTGGCAACCGCTTGCGTGTGTGTGTGTGTGTGTGTGTGTGTGTGTGTGTGTGTGTGTGTGGCCTGCGTGTTGAGCACAGGTTCTGTCCTTGCTAAGGAATGATTTGATGCCTCATTGAGTCCGACACCTCCGGGCCTGGCTGGAGGATCCGCAAGGCGGGGTGGGGGGCGGTAGTGGTGGTGGTGGTGACAGCGAACCTGCTTCCCACTTGGCTTGACGATAGCTTGCTCCTACCCCATGGGTAGGGGAATCCCGCAAGGTGCAGCGACTGCGGGTGGCTGGAGACTCGTAGCGTGGGCGGCACTGTGGTGGCCGCTGGCAATGGCGGCCCCCGGCTAAGCCCCTCCTTCCCGGGAAGTGGAGCCTGGAGTAAGCCTGGGTGGACGCGGGCGGGTGGGGATGGGCGCTCGGGTGGGGTGGGAGAGCTGCTGGAAGAGAAATGCTAACATCTACCTTTCCTGAAAGAGCCCGCATAGCCCAATTCGGCTGGGTGACAGCCCTGGGCCAGGCAATCTCTTTTAAGGAAATTCACATGGACCAATCAGGTTCTCTTGGCCTCCTGCCCTCTCTGCCGCATTTTCTCCCCCTTTTCTGGTAGGAGGGAGCAGGGGCACGCTGTGTTTTCTTGGCAGCCAGTCAGCAGGGACTTTTGGGGACAGGCAGACCTGACGGATGTGACTCTACTGGTCAGGAGAGGCGGGAAGCCAGAGAAGGGGAGGTGGTTTGGGGCCGGGGGTGGGGGAAATGGCAACGGACCAGCTGACCTTTTTGGCACACACTTCTTGCTGACCCTATCCCCACTTTCTCCTGGAGCTTTCTCTGATCAGAAGTGAACGGTTCCACGCACTCCCATAATGCAGGAACCGAACTCAGGAGCAGAAAGCTAATCCTAAGCAGACTTTCGGAACTCCAGGGCCAGAGCAGGCCGTCAGAGCAGATGAGGCTCTGAGCCAGGCTGATAAGCATGCCCCTTGCCTCTGCTCTTGCTGGACGTTTTTGGGAGCTGACAGCTTTGAGGGAAGGCTGCGGGAGGAAGGCAGGTTTCCTTGGGTGCTCCCGGATTGTCCCTGCTGGAATTGGGAGCCCTGTTCCTTTTCTGTGTTAATCCTAGGTTTTATCCAGGGGGCTCTGAATGGGGATGGGCACCATGGTGACCCCATGAGGGTTTCCCCTTGGCCTGGGTACTGGGGCTCCTGAGGTGTGGTGGGTGGTATATGAGGGACAGGACAGTGAGTCGGAGTGTGACACACACCCTGATGAGGAGGACCTGAGGAATGAATGGGAAGGAGGGGAGATGCTGGGATTGTTCACAGCTGGGCTGCTGCTCTGCCTTTGCCCATCTGGCCTTCCATTAGCATTGTTGGAGGGCTGGCAGTGGGCAGGCTTGGGAAACGTGATTCACTACCCTGTGCCCTGAAAAATGTTCTCCAGCTTCTCTGTGAGGGGCCACCTCCTGTGCCCTGGAGACCTGGCTTCCCCTGGCCACCCGCCTATGAGGCCCACCCCCCCCTTCCCCTCAGCCGACCCTGTAAACTGACCACAGTGCGGCGTGGGAGGGCTGCAGAGGGAGCAGCCTGCTCCTGGGTGGACTCTCCGGGGTACACTGCTTGCCCTGTCCTTGTTGGGGCCCACGATTGCTGGGAGCTCTTCTCTGTCACAGGTGGCAGAGCCTTGTTCTCAAAACCTCCCTCTGACATCAAAGTGACTTTGGCAAAAGTTCCTTTGCCTTCTTTGGACCATATCCCCACTCTCCTATTGACATGGTAATCATTCACCTGCTAGGAAGGACCCTTGCTAATGGCTTTAGGACAGTGTCAGATGTGCCCTCTGCTGGCTCACTGTTCTAGAGTCTAATGTTTATCATTAGAAGACATTCAGTGGCAAGTGGATTTCAATGGTGAGCTGACCTTAGGGGTCCTGCCTTAATTCAGAAAATTTTTGGCAGGAGGCTGGGTGTGCAGTGGCCACAGCCACAGGTTTTAAAGTCTTGTAGATATCACAGGTATCTCTTATGTCACTGGTTGGATGACCTAGTCCATTAATCTCCCTGAGCCTCAGTGTTCCCATCTGTAAAAATGGGCACAGACAACTGGAAGAATATTTGTGAACATTAAAAATAAAATGTGTGTTGTACAATGTAAGGCAAACAAGGAACAAATAATCAAATTAGTTACTTATACTGCTGACCCAAGAGACAGAGCATGCTGAAATTAGTTCCCATGGCCTCTAAGTGAGAAAAGACATAACTTATTCTCTCAAGTTCACCAGAAAGTGTCAGTCCGTTTCTTGGGAACGTCAGAGAGTGTGTCACATGCCTCTTAGGATCCCAGGTGCAGTGAGGTAGCAGTGTGACCACCTGCCAAGGGACCCTGCAGCCCAGGTGTGACACACCCACTGTCAGTGACAATAGCCACACAATAACAATAATGACAGCTACTCACATGGCACTGCTACATGCCAGGAATTGCTCTAAGGGCTTTACATAAAATTACTTGTTCTCACAATGAGATAAGTGTGACTGTCCCCATTTTACCCTCAAGGAAATTGCAGCAGGGTGATGTGGTAACCTTGTGAGCAGCAGAGGTAGCATTAGAGAATTAGAGCTTGGACAGTCTGGCTCTGGACACCACCCCCTTAGCCACAATGCTGTGCAGAGATAGCACAGAGACTGCCTGATGACCTGTGGGCCTTCATGCATAGGAACACAGTGGTAACTACTGAGTTTGATGGGTGTGGCAAGCAATATATTGCAGCTTTCTCCACGCCCTGAGTGGCAGAGCAGGGAGCCCAGCCAGATGGGCGCCAAGCCTGGGGGATCTGCCTTCTTCTCCAACCTAATATGCTAGCAGATCTGTAGGACAAATGAGACATGGGCTGGACTTTGGGGATGTCACAGTCTGGTTGAGGAGGCATAATTTACGACGTGCCCAGTGGAGAACAACACAAAGAAGGCTCAGGGATATCCTTGGAGGTGGGAACTCAACGTGCTAGAAGGAAGGGAAGGATCTCTTAGAGAAGGCAGGCCTTGGAGATGGGCTTTGGAGATAGGCAGGAGCGGCTAGTGAAGGAGGGGAAGATTAAGAGCAGAATCCTGCAGTGGTTCCCAGTGAGAGTGGAGGTCACTTCATGCAACAAGTGTTTGCTCCTGATCTTGAATCTCTGTATACAGAGGCGAAGAAAAGAAAGAACAAAGGCTTTGCAGTTGAAGGGGAGGACATGCTGGTTTCCTAGGGGATGGAGGGAAACTCTGGACATACAGGGAAACAGTCCCCACAGCTTGTTTTCTTAGCCAGAAGCTCCCCTTAGCCCTCGACTTCTTTCCATTTCCCCTCAAGCCTGCTCCCCATCTCCATCAAGTGTGAAAAGATTTAATTTAGCCAGCAAAGAGCTGTTAGGTGCAGCCCCAATGCTGACCCTTCAGCCCCCTCCTTTGGAGGTACCCACACACCTGCAGCTGTTTCTCAGCCTTTTGTAGAGGAAACTGTGCTTGACAGCCACATGTTTCTCCTGGGCCCCTTTCCTGGTGCTCAAGTGTCCTGGGCCTTCCCAACACCCACTGTGCATAGTAGCGTCTGCTCTGTGCAGTGTGCACGAATCATGGCCATGGGCTAAGAACTGGAGAACAACTCTGAACCCTCTACTGACCAAATTCAGATAAGGGACACCCCTGAGCTATTTGAGGAGAAAGCTGGGCCTGTTTTTAAGAAGCAGTTGCAGGGGAGAAAATTATACATGTAATCCTTTGATATTTCCCCTTTGGAGGAGCTAGTGTTCAGCTTGCAAGTTTTTCCTTTAAAGAAGTAATTAGAAGCACTCAAAATGCTCTGCTAGTGTCTGGGAGTGTTTCAGATGTTTAAAAAGAAAAGCTCGGTGAGGCCCCCGGGAAGAGTGCACGGCTACAACCTGTTACAACTTTGCCCCGTTTCGTTTTGATTAGAATCCTTGCCCCGTCATCGAAGTTGACTATGGATTTGATTAGTGGATTTTTCTGCTATTGTGTTTTTCGTGTTTTTCTTTTTCTCTGTTCACAGTGGGGCATGTATAGTGTGGTTATCTGCCAACATGCCAGAATGTTTATAGTTCACATATTATTGCTTATGCCATGGGTTAATTGTCTAAAGACACTCTAAGGGTGGTACTGGCGGCTTATGCAGGGTATCGTTATGTGTGTATAAGTTGGTGTATAAATACATCTTCTGGGTATGTGTGTATGCACGTTTCTACACACATACACAAACATATCCACATGGAACAGTTTAAAGTATTGAGCACATGTAAGCATATGCACACATCAAAGGCCAGGCTGGATGAGCTACAGCCCAAATTCTAGCTCTCAGAATAGCTGTGTCTGCTTTCCGCTTCTCACATGCTCTTCCTGCATAACCAAGACTGAAAGCACCAATCCCCGTGTCCACTTTATTTACTTACAAGACAGGAGGGCTGTAGCCCTGAAGAGAGGTGTTTCTGTCAAGCCTCAGACAATCTCCCAAAGCCAGCCTGGGGAAGCCAAACCACCCAGCAAGATGCTGGCTTGCGGTCAGAAATTTCTATTTTTTAAAACCAGCCTCAGCAGCAGGGGAGCGAACACTTATGAAGCAACCGTTATGTATCAGGTCATCTGCGGTGCTTTTTATATGTTTATTGTTTAAGACACAGGAAACAGAGTAAGATGTGAAATGGTTGATGCATTTTATGCACGAGACTGAAGCCAAGGGAAATTATCACTTGGAGGCAGTTGTGCGCAGTAAATTAGGCTTTCCTGAGAGACAGATCTGCATTCAAATCCAGCCTTTGAACAAATTTCTGACTATCTCTAGACTTCAGGTTTTCATGTGTGACCCAGAATTGCTGACATGTATCGATTGGCTCTGAGGATTCAGTGAGATATTACAGGTAGATTTCTGAGCCCAGATGGCCCATACAAAGCAAGGAGTATGTGCTGTTACCTCTTTTTATTATCCACGGTCAGCTCCAAGCTTGGCATATGGGTCGCTCATTTCAAGCCCACATTCTTTCCATCCTACCTCTGTGCCTCCGAGATGCATGGCTGATTCCACGGAGGGACAGAAGGCTTTGCACTGTGAAAGAAGAGAGTGTCGTAGGGCTGTGGTAAAATGCACGGGAGCCAGAGTAAATGAAGAGTGATGTCATCCAAAGAAGTCATATCCAGAGTTGTTCACTGGGGTCTCTGTTTTGGTTCCTGTGAGACCACCTCTATAACACTAACCAAGCTGAGGGATCTGCTGTAAACTCCATGTGTGGGAGGCCTCCTCTGTGTACTCACCTGAGCTGGTTTGGTTGAGGGCAGCTGCTCAATCCAATGGCCCAGACCCAAAATGGAACAGTCCTGCTGCTTGGGCTTTGTAATGGCTTCTTGCTGTTCTGAGGGCAGAAGGAAAGTGCTTTTCCCTCACAGCTGCTGTGATTGTCTTGGGAGCTGGACCTTGTGACCACTTTGGACATTCAGGTGCCCCAAGGCCTGGCCAGCTGCCCAGGGGTGTTTTACTAGTAGCCACAGGGCCCATGTCAATGGCTGCTCTGTCTTGTGATCACGCTGGTCAAGGAAATGGACAGTGTGTTCTTAGACTGTCTTGAGTAGAATGGGCCCATGTGATTATGGGAACAAAACCTGGTCAGGCTTTTGTGGTCCAGTCTGTATGCCAGACAATAGGGAGTGACTCAAAGGTTTTCACAGGAACCCCGAGACACCCACACAAAACCTCCCGAATGACTCATGACTCAGTGCCCCCTTTCTCAAGGAAAACAGACCCTCCCTTGTGTTTTGCAAACAGTGACCCCACAACCTCTGAATATTTCGTTTCTCCTTCCATGTGAAACCTTAATACCACCAATGAATTTGGAATTGTTCCCCACTCCCCACCCCACCTTACTGGGAGAGAAGATAGGGTGGAAGTGGAGGGTTGGTTGAGATAATTATGAGGCTTCTTGGCCTTTGAAAAATTCACTTACTCATGGCAGAGTGGCACTATACATGTATTTATAATAATAGTCATTGACACTGATTGAACACAGCAGTCTACTGCATAGCACTAGACCTGTGTCATTTCACTTAATCTGCACAGTGTCCCATGAAGTAGGTGCTACTTCCTGTAAAGAACTAGAAATGACAGCTCGGGGAGTCAAAAACTTTGTTTCTAGTTTGATCTTCTGGGACCCTTTGCTGTGTGACCTTAAACAAGTCACATTGTGTTCCTTGGCTTCTGGTTACTTCACTTATAAAATGAAGATGATGGTACCTTCTTTATCCTCTTTGAAGAATTAATGTGAAGATTAATAGAGGCAATTATCATGGACAAGACACTGGCTTAAGCATTTTACTCTTCATATGCCCTAAAATAAGGCTCAGAGAGATTAAACTATTATCTTAAGTAGCACAGCTGGTAAGTAGGCTGCCCAGAATTGGAATCCCTGCCTCTTTGATTACCTGAATAGATGTTCTTAAATAGCTAGTGAGAGCACTTTGAAAAAAATACCTGAAGATGCATTGTTAATACTGAATCAAAGTAAATTTCTCTAAAATTTCCTTTGGCTTCTTATGCCACTTGACTGTTTCCAAACTCCTTCCCCTAGTGTTTGGAAATGTTGAAAATATTCTTTTGATATTAATAATATTAGTTGCTTAATAATGGTTAAATCCTTCTGGTCCAAGTCTTCTGAGGCTTCAAGGCCCATTAAGGGTTATCACTGAGTATAATTGGCAAGAGTAGTTCTTGACAGAGAGCAGGAAAAATGGAGAATTGATTCAAATCATTTGTTTGTGTGTGGAAGTGAGAAATGTCTGAGCTAATCCTTCCTTAGACCATCAGCCTGGGATCTTCACACCTGTCACTATCATGAAACACATACATATACACACATCAAAAGATAGGTAAAGGATTCTTCTAGAAAAGAGACCAAAGAGCTATGGCAGCCACACCCAATGAGAGTCCCACGACTACATTACATCCTGGATAAGCAAAAATAAAAATGTTAGGAAGGCCATTTTGGAGATTTCTGCATGTGGAGGGTTGCATATTTGATAGTGTTGCTGGTGCAGTGTTAATGGAGTTGAGATTATGTAAGAAAATAGCCATTCTTGGAGAGACTCACACAGGAATATTTAGAAGTAAAGTGTCTTGATGTCTGTAACTAATTCCAGATAGTTTAGGTGAAAATAAGGTGAGACTACCTGCGAGCTAAAGAGAAATCAAATGCCACAAAATGTTAACAACTAGTGAACGTAGACGAGGATACACATGTACAATCTTAAGATTTTTTCTGAGTCTTGAAATTTTTCAAAATAAAGCATTGGAAAAAAATAAAGCCTGGGTAAATGGTAATTCTTACCAAAGTCCTTGGTATAATGTACCCATGGGCACATAAATGAAATAATGTGTGTGTGTGTGTGTGTGTGTGTGTGTGTGTGTGTGTGTGTGTATGAACTCACAGTAGCCTGGCCAGGTCTGTTTCACTATGTTCAGGTTTCTTTCATTCCTTTTTCTTCCATGAGAATGATTGTAGACATTCTGGGTAATCACCAGATCCAATATCATTTGGTGATCTTTTATAAATATCTAAGCTTTTTCCAAGGTGATAAGTGTAAACAAAACCCCCACAGAGCTCTATGAGGCCAGATACTGAAAGGGTAAGGAATATGAGTGGCAGGGAACTTTTCTCCACTTCGACCTTTTCCCTCTCCTTTCTTCTTTGGTCACTTTTGCCTGGTTAAATCCTCCTACTTTTTACCTGTTCAAAGTCAGCCTTCTGTCACCATCTCTAAGAAGCCTTCAGCTGTTGCCGTGATCTGGATACAGCGTCTCCCTGTGGCTCCCCAGCTTGGACTGTGATTGCTTAGATGATTGAGCCATGACTTCTGGGAGGTCTGGGATATGTTTCTCTTCATCTCTGCTGACACAGGATCTGCACAGGGTAGAATTCTTTGTTAATATGCACAGAGGGGAAGAAGAGTGGAGCAGGACAGAAAAGAAAGACTTGGAAAGCAGGAGTGTGGAACTGGAGATTGAGCATAAACTGTGCTATAGTTTGGGCTCAGAGGACCATGTATTAAAGACGTAGCCTCCATCAAGCCTGGAGACCACTGCAGTCTTAAAGGTGGGATGCAGCCCGAGGTCTTCAAATCACTGAGGGTGTGTCCTTGAAGGGCACCGTGGAATCCTGACTCCTTTTTCTTTCCCTCTTTTTGTGTCCTGTCCATGTGGTAAGTGGCTTTGTTCTGCCACACACTGCTACTGTGATGCACCTGTGAGGCTCTAAAAGCAACGAGGTCAGCCCTTCATGGTCAAGAACCTTCAAAACTGTCTTTATAAGTTGGTTATCTTGCAACTAATCATGTCGCAGTGATGGAGAACTCAGTAATGCAAGCTGTGTTCATAAAGCCTGGCCAAACTGGGTGGCTCCTGCAAATCGCCCCCTGGGAATGTGAACTGAGGAGGTTGCATGACAGTGGTGAGACAGAGTTGCCAACCTGCATGCTGGTGGAGGCCACTGTCTGAGCTCTCAGCACCAGTCTTCAGGACACTCCCCTGTCCGGCTGGGTAGAAGCAGATAGACTATTCAAGCCTAGCAACCATGTCCAAACCATCTGGTTGCTGCAGGGGCATCTGGCTATCAGCAAGTGATGGCAGTAGCCTGAAGGAGCTTGGGCAGACCCCCCAGCTCCACCTTGAAAGGAGGGCCTAACGTGGGTTCTGTGGTTGCTTAGGAAATCCTAGGGACAAAGCTTCCAGGAACAATGATCACAACCACCACTCACATGCCATTTCCATATTGCATTCCTATCATGAAATACTCAATTCAGGCTACTTAAGAAGTAAAGAGATTTCTCGAGTGCAGTTTTAGAAGCTAAAGAGCCAAACAGCCTGGCATAGGCTCCTCAAAGGCCCCACCTTGGCTGTCACCTCGTGGCAGATGGCGATGGTGGGGACATGTGCAAAAGTAAGCATTCCCAAATCCTGCTCACAGATCTCAGAGCAAGTTTTCAGGGTCTGGCTTGGGCTGTTATAACCTTACTCTCTGGAGCAAGTAGACTCCCGGAGATTGGCGCCTGTTCTGAGACTACGCCCTGTGTGACCTAAGGACCTCCAGCTAGGGCCCAGCTCTTAGAGCCCCCATTCCCACCACTTGGGGACCAGGCCTCTGACACAAGAAACTTTGTGGGGACACAAGCCATCTCCAAACTGCAGCACATACATAATCACACATCATCTTCACACTGACCTTCAGAGGCAAGGCTAGTGGTCTTGTCTTACCAATAAGAAGAAAAACAGATACAGGGTTCTGTTTGGATCATGCATCATGTTGAGGTCAGTGACAGGATTTGAATTCAGGTCTCTCCAATTCTAGATCTATGTTCTTCACCACCTTCAGCCCTGCTCCTCATGGAGCCTGCCCCTTGTTTTCTGGGTCTTGGCCCTGAGCACTCTTTGCCTCTTAGAACTAACCCTGCCTGTCACTGGCACTTTTTCGTATGTACAAGGTGAGCTGTCTCATCTATCTTGTGGCCACATCACACTGCTGTCTGGATGCTGTCTTTGCCCACTGCTGGGACTGCTGTCCCTCAGGTCACCTTTGTGCTGCTGGCCACGCAGCTGGCAGGACCCCTTTCCAGTCGTGCCACGTATTACTCTGTTGCATCTCAACACACAGCCCCATCACATGCTGATTCGCTTTGGTTGTCTTCAGAGCTGGGAGTGATGCATGTTTACATCAAAACGCATGTGCTGCGAGTGGCCCCAGACTTTCAGTGTGTGACCTTTGCTCCTTAGCTGTCTGTGGCCCATAGAAGGCAAACCCTGGAGGGGAAAAATTTCAGGTGACAAAACCAGATATGGAATAGGCAGGTGTACTTGAGATGTCTCCTCCAAGATCTGTGCTCAAAGGACTAAGACTCCAGACACTTGAGCCAGAGGATGCCTTTGAAGCCATCTGTTCCCTTGGCTCCAGCGTGCAGATGGGGTCCATGGCTCAGGATGGCACAAGATTGCCCCTGAAGCCCCAGCCCTGAGGAGCAACCGGAGCCTAGGCTGGCATCTTTTCCACCGCATTCAAACATCAGAGGTTCTCTGAAGGCCCTGATGGGTTGAAAAAGAATTAGAATCAGCCCTAGGCTGCATTCTTTTCCCTCCTAGCCGGTAGTCAGAGTGAGTATTCTTAATTCCTTCATACTAGGAAGCATCCTTAAGCTCAAAGGATCAGAAAGCCAGGACTTGCGTGTTGGTGGCATAAGTGTGACAAGTGGTCATCAGTAAACACTTCCCATGAATCGGATATCATCTCTTTACATCCACACCGGAAGAAGACTGGGCATTTCACTCAGCTCATCTGTAGGGTCCAGAGGAGTCTTGTGGATTGCAGGCTCACACTATTTATCCCCAGCCCTTGGACACCCCACCTGCTCATCCCAAAGCTAGAAGTCAGGGAGACATGGCTTATCCTCTCTCCCCTTTCATTTCCAGAGTGTCTAACTTCTAGATAATAGTGAGAACCAGGATGTCAAGGGTACTCAATAAATAGTTGCTAAACTTCAGCTATGCTTCCATCAACCATGCCTGGTCTTGGTTTCCCCAGGGGAAGTAGGATATTTTGATGAGCAGTGCACACAGGAAAGCAGTTGGTGCATGTAAAGGTGCCTGGAGTGGGGTAGATCAGATCACTGTTATTTATTTGAGTGCTTACTAACTATTTTGTAGGATTTTCCCCTGTGATCCTTACAAAAGCAATAATCTCCAGGGTTGGGATTTTTGTGATGGTCTCCACTTTGCAAATAAACTGAGGCAAGGAGACCCTAAACAACATGCCTGCATTTCCCACATCTCCCAGGGAAGGAGTCAGGCTAGAAGCCTGGATTCCAACCCACCACCTGGCCCTCCCTCTGCGCTAATACCAGCCAGACCCACGCCTGGTTGCTGATGGGGAAGAGATGCACAGAGAGGTGAACAACGTGCCTGAGGTCCTGCAGGAAATCCCAGCTAAGACTTGCCTTCTGCAGAGACCCAGGGCTCTACCTTTATGGAGTGCCGTCTCTGCACTGAGGAAGGCATGGTTAAGCCCCGGGAAGAGCTCCTCAAGTGCCGCAGGACTCCTTGACTTCCTTTCCCCTTGGCTTCTCCCTCCTTTGGAATCAGTTCTTGTCTGGGTTGCAGAGTAGAAACCAATAGAAATTTGCCTTAGTCCCTAGAGCTGTTTACCTGGCTAAAAATATGCCAGCTTTGTGATATTTTTAGCTGCATTTAGATGTGATGTATACAAATTGCCCACACCCATGTGTGAGGCATGAACTGTTGGTACATTTTGTAACAGGAAGCTGCTGGTTTTCCATTCCAGAGAACTGGAATTCAGTCAGAAATTTGTCATTCCCAAATACCGACTCTCACCACATTCCACAGCTGTTTTTAAGAGCATCTCGTCACCTGGGTTCGGAGGAAGCAGGCCATGGGCGAGGCCAGGCTGGCCCAGCTGCCCTGCTGCATTCTCCAGGTCTGGTGGCTTCCAGGTGACCTCTGCTTGGCTGTCCCCAAGCCTCTGTCTTTCCACAGTGTGTGTTGCCTTTGGATTAGCCTAAGGGCAGACAGGGTGCTTATTTTAGAACTGAAAAGAGAGGAGACATATCAATAAAAAACCAGGGAAGGAAAAAAATCCATTCAGTGGTTTTAAAATATCTCTCCCTTAACAGGATGGATTATTTTTGTTTCTTAAAAACAACTGGTAGTTTTCTCCTCGAAACAGTCGGAAAGAGAGGCAGAAAGATTGTTCTAAAAAAAAGTAGAGGGTATGATGGTGGCCCCTATCCATCCCTGTTCACATAGTACCAATTCTTTACTGGATGTTCCTTATGAACAACATGGGTGTGTGCAAAGCTGGGCCTACGGTGCCAGTCTGCTTCCTGTCCGAGGCTCCCACAAATGCTGCCTTAAAACCTACAGGAAATGCATGGAGCATCCCTTAAGATGCCAATAGGCCCTGAATGCTGGCCCATAGAGACGTTTTGTTTATTTAGTGGGCTGGAGTCCTTAGCCATGAGCAGATTCTTACTAAAACCCAGGCTGGCTTGACATGCTCGCAGTGCAGTGTGGAGATGAGAATTAGCTTGGCTGTCAGGCCCTGGTTCCGCATTGTCTTCAGGGTTCCATCTTTCTGTCCACTCTTTGGGATGCAAGCACTTGTCCGTGAAAGCATGGCCTGTGAACCAGCCTAGTGGCTTCCTGTGTCCTGTTGGAAATGCAGGTTCTCAGGCTTCACCCCACATCTCTTGAATGTGAGTTTGCATTTTAGTAAGACCCCTGCATTCAAGGACTTCAGTGCCCTGCTCTGCCAGATACTTGGGGCCAGTACAGGTGGCTTCTCTCAGGAGCTAGAGCCAATTTCATGGCAACCACCTCTCACCCTTCCCCAAAGGCAGGGCAGCCACTCCCACAGTCTGAATGAAGCCCAGCTCCCACAGCCCTTTGTAATATGGAAATCTCCTTTGGGTTTTTCTTGGGTCCCCAAAATCCAGTTGTTTGCCGTTGTGAAGGAGGCAGGATGCACCCAGGGTAGCAAGGGGAGGAGCTCAATGTCTCTCCATCTACTGCCCAAGAAGCTCTCGCCACGGGGCAGGTGCTCTGCAAATGTAGGCTGTCTGCCTGCTGAACGTTCCTTTCCCTCATGCTGTGGTTGAGTATTGATTTGGGGAAAGCCCATTGGTAAGAGGAGGGCAGATTTACTGAGCGGCTGAGCCAGGCTATTTGGTGAAATTGTCTGCTGCTGATGTCGGAGGGTTTTTGCCTTGTTTTGTGCAAATCAGGGTTATTTAAAAGCTGTTCACATGGTCACTGGTACCATAGAAACCGCCTCGCTTTGTGCATAGCCCTGTCTCAGCCAGGCATGGGCCGCCACAGGTGCAGGAGGAGGGCATGCTGCACTGAGGCATCTCCAAAAGGAAGAAGCGTGGTGGAGAAAGCTTGGGAGTGGTTTTGCCACCTCCCTCCAGACCCCCTGGAGCTGTCTCATTGCAGAGACCCCTCCAAACTACCTGATGGAGGGGCCACTCCTCCGTCCCTCAAGTACAAACCTGGCCTTGAGTGAGGACAATGACATTGTCCTAGGACCAAAACCAAGAGGGGGTTTGTGTGTGTGATGTGTTTGTGTATGCATGCATGTGCACACATGTTTATGCACATGTGTACATGTCTTTGCATATGCATGTGTGCATGTTTGCACCTATGGTCATGTGTATATATATATATGTGTGTGTTTGTGTATTTGTGTGTGTGCGCACTGTGTGTATGGATTTGGGCATGCATGCATGTGTTTGCATGTTCTTGTACATGCATGCATATGTATATGAATTTGCATGCATGTTTATGCATGCATGTCTATGTGCAGGGATTTACGTATGTGTGCATGTGTTTAAATGCATCTGTGTGCATGTGTGTGTGTATGTATGCATGTGTGCTCATGTATGCATGCAAGTCTGTGCATGTTTATGCTTACCTGTGGTGTGTGTGGGTATTTATGCCTGCATGTGTGCTTGTGAGAGTGTGTGTGTGCACATGTGTGTTCAGATGCTCTTTGAGAGGTTGCAGAAATCCATTTTGACCCCTGGTAGCCCCATAGCATGCCAGGCTGAAGGCACACTATATTCTTTTTTATTTTTTAAATTTTATTTAAGGAGAACAAGAAAAAAAGGCAGAAAAAGTGTACGTCCTCTTTTTCTAGAGGCCTCTTTGACCCGGGGCCCTTGTCCAGGGCTCTTCACCAGCAGCTTGTGATGTTGTGCAAATGATACTCAAGTCCAGATGACTCTCTAGAAAGCCAGGCCTGGAGTGGGACTTCCACATCCATCTCTCTTGAGGGCCTCCAGGGGATGCTGAAGCACTCACTGTGCTGTTTGCTGAATTTGAGAGCAGCCCGCTCAGGACCCAGGACATAGCAGCCAGGGAAACAGCAGTCACACTGACCAGGACTGGGCTTGCCTAGCTTATAGCAGAATGTCCCCAGGCGAGTGGGTAGGCTGCCCCTGCCTCCTCCTCCTCCCTGCGGGCCTCACAGGGCAGCTCTGCTCCTGAAATGCTGTTGCATGCAGGAGGCCTGTAGCAGGAGCCTGGCATGGGAGAGGGCTCCATTAATGTCAGACCTCCAGGTGTGTGCTTCCTGCGGTGCCTGACTATGGGCATAGAAACTGTCAAGAAAGTTCAACGGCAGAGCACAATCAAGAAATGAGACAGCAGTGCTCAGTGATACGTGTAATTTTGCAATAAAGAAATGATTAGTTCATTTTTTCAAGACATCTTACCAAGGAAGGACAAGTGCAGAGAAAGGTCCCAGGGGGCCAGAAAGAGCAGCAGGAAAAAGGTGCCTTTGCTTCCTGCCAGGGCTCCTTGAGCTCCAGCGCGCTTCCTCTTACCTGGGGAGCCTGGTGGAGTGTATACACTGCATCCTGAGCCCGCCTCTGAGACTCTGATTTTGCAGATCAGGGATGAGGCCCCCAAATTCATCTTCCTGACAGTGATGATCAGGTGGCTGTACAGAAGGCAATCAGAAGCCCCGGCTGTGATGGATCCTAGGCCAGTGGGGATTGATCACATGGGGAGACCCAGGGAAGATGGGGCTGGATGACTCTGGGCCTGCAGGGAAAGGGTCCTGCATGAAGCTGGAGAGGCTGGGTTTACCTGTGTTGGAGCCAGAGGAAACTGGGCAGCACATTTGGGATCTAGGCTGAGGAACAGATGGTGGAAAGGCTTGGTGACAGGAAGCCCTGGCTCTCCCTCCTGCCCCTGTGAGCTGGCTTGCCAGGTAGGGTGGACACTACACAGACGCCAGCCATGAGACAGGACTCACTGTGACTCCAGATGAAGTGTGTATGTCCCACTGAAAGCCCGAACCAACAGGCTTGAGTTTGCCTATCAGTGCAGCTGGAGTTTAGCATCTCTTTCTATGTTCACTGAGACATCAGGATGTGTGGATTGTTGTCCACATACTCCACTGAAAAGGAGGAAGAGAAGAAGCAGAGGAAGGAGAAAGAAGCTGGAATGCGGTACACGCCTGCAAACCTAGCACTAGGCGACTGAGCAGGAGGATCCCTGTGAGTTACCTAGTGAGACCCTATGTCACAAAACAGATGAACAAACAGCAAAAAGGAGGAGAGAAAAGGGAAGAAGAGTAGAAAGGCTTAGGCTCAATCTGGGACGAGAGACCACGGAGAAAGATTTAGGAAATGGGGTGTGCTCTTCTATGTTTGAGTGTTCCCCTGAGCTCACAGAGCTGCAGCTGGCATCTTGAGTCTGCAGGGGACCTGCGTCCCTGGATAAAGGGACACGAGTTGCAGTGGCCTTCATCCTGCGGCTTGTGCCAAAGGAGAGCAAGTTTTGGAAGGTCTTTGAGGGTCAGATAGAGTTAGAAAAAGAGAGGTGGGACAGGAACCCCTGTTCAGACCTCTGGTACACAGGCTTCAGGCTCAGGTGTGCTGATGCCTCTTGTCCGGCCTTGCTTCTTGGGTTGAAGCCATGATCTGTTTTCCAGATGAAGAATGAGAAGCCCAGAGAGGTGAGGTGATTTGCACCTTCCCATGCAGCCAGGCCATGGCAGAGCCGGGCTCAGGCTTCCTGCAAATCAGCCTCAGTTCCCCTGTGAGCGTGATGGTGACTTTGCTTCTTTATCAGGGCTTGTGGGCACTGTGCCCTGGAGCCCAGGACTTGAGGGGCATTTCTGTGCCCTCTGTTGACAATCCAGCCTTCAGTGTCATTGCCCTGGCTGCCAGCTGCTGTCCCCACAGCCAGACCCCCACCCACACTGGCGAAGGCTTCAGCCCAGGGCGTTCTGGGGTGGGAGGAGGAAGTGCCCCCCGGGGGGGTTGTTCTGGTGCCCTGAATGGCCCCATTGAGGTGGCCTGGGCCTGGTGACAATGAGCCTGTTGGGGCCCTCACTCCATTGAGACCAGAGGGCCAGGGCTGGGCAGTCAGTGCTGGCTCAGAGAGTAAATGCTGACTTCCAGGGCAGGCTGCCAGCACCTCTGACGCGCTCTGAAATGTCAGCTCTGCCTAATGGGTGCAGTCGGGTGGGCTCTGCATTCCTGCCTATGCCAAGAGGGCGGAGGGGACCCAGTACCCCGGGACCAGTGCCCCAGACCTCACTTGCTGCTGTCCCTCTTCGCTGCTGGGCCTGCTCACCCTCGCTGAACACACCCTTCTTGCTGGACACCTACAACAATGCTTAGTCTTTCGTGGTGTCCCCTGATCCCCAGGGACATCCTTTTCAGGCTTTTTGGAGACACGACATGCTCTCCCCAGTAGCTTAGGACACCCACAGACAGGGATGTTAGATAGAACCCAAGGCACATGATTCAATTTGAATGTCAGATATGTGATGAATAATTTTTAAATTATGTTTATGTCTGTGACAAATATTGATAAATGTCAAAGCTGGAACCAAGATATGGGTTCATTGATCCAAGCATCCTGGAGCACATTTGCACTAAAAATTATTTATCATTTATCAGGAATTCATATGGCACTGGGCACCGTCAATTCTTATTTACTAAATCTGTCAGCCATGTTGGACACCCAAGGCAGAACACTCGGGTGCTGTGGGTTTTCCTGAGGCCACTGAGGTACCATAGGGCACGGGGAGGAGGGGGCTTTGCCTGCATCTTCTCTCCAACCTTGACTGCCTATTACATAAAATAATGGGGCTGCCCTTAGGGGGAGCTTCCTAAAAGGCATCTGTTGCTCACCTTGTTACTACCTATGGCACCCTGCTTCTAGGGGCTGTGTCCTTCTATCCAGTTCCTGTGCTGGGGGCAGGGGGGATGCAGCTCTAGCCAGGGACCTCTTCTGATCATGCGTGTATCACAGTGGTAGAAATGGGTCCCAGGGCTCAAGGGAACACACTGGCTGGTTAGCAGGGGAAGCAAGCATTTGGGCAAAAGAGCCACTGTGATCCCAGAGAGCAGACGCCCTTCAGGGGTGCGGGAAGGCTTTGAGGGCTCTCACCATAGAACCAGAGGGAGGGTCTTGGAGTCGGGGGATGCAACAGGAAACCTGGGCCATGTCACTGAGCTGACTGCATGTGTGGCCCCAGGCAAGACCCTGAGCTTACAGCTTTGCTTTTCCTCCTGTAAAGTGGAAGTAATATTTCTTGCCTGTGGGAATCCGGTGAGATGCTAAGTACTTGTGCCCATCGTGTATTGCCAGTTGTAGGGTTCTAGATGCAATGAGTGTGTGTGTGTGTGTGTGTGTGTGTGTGTGTGTGTGTATACACATAGAAGAGGGGAAGGAGCTGAAGAGAAAGAACCATGGCCCTGGACCTAGGGGGTCCCATCCCATATAACCTTTTGCTGTTTGTAAGTGATAATAGCTGGAGAGGCAAATGGCTCAGGTTCAAGCCCTATCTTCACTGTATGACCTCTTCTGCCTGTTTCCTTCTCTGTGAAATGGGGCCTCCTGGGTGTGACTGAGAAAATGAACAGAGACCATGTGTGTCTGCACCAAGTGCTTGGTGTGGAGCCTGGCACATGGCAATGCGCAGAAGTGGGCAGCTTCTTAAAGGGTCTTAGTGAGCCTACCAGGCTCATGAGTGCTAATTATCAGGTGGAATGCCAAGGTCAGAGAGGGTAAGAACTGGCCCACACAGGGGCAGCAGAAGAGAGTATAGCCTTTCTCAGGATGCCTTTGGCCACCTGTCTTCAGGGAACTTTGCTTCTGGATTTCAGCCGAACACCTCTGGGGAACACCTGGACTCAGGGGTGCAGCTGTGTTTTTGTGCAGATGTGTGGTGTCCTGAAGACCTTGGCTTCCCTGTCTATGTCATGCCCATCCCATCCCCACCTGTCCTCCAAGTCAGGGAAAAGGACCTTCTTTTGGAATCTAAGGCTCACACACCTCACACTTGCTGCTGGGTTTGAAGTCTGAGGGTTTTATTGCCCTTTTAAACCTTTTTGTTACTGATGCCTGCGTGGTTGTGCTGTTAGCATGGATACTCGTTGTATTGCCTTGAACACAAAAGCAGTTTTGAGAGAAGGGGTGTATTTCTGGGGAGAGGCTAAGATGGGCCATCTGCCACCACCCTGTGGGGCACCTTACTAACCTGTTCTTCAGTGGCCCCAGAGGGCCAAGGGGTGGGCTGGGTGCTGGCCCTGACTGACCATGCTGGGTGCTTGTATCAGAAAGAAGGTCAAGGGTGCTCCTTCCGCTGCTCTCTGAGCTTAAGCCTTAGACCCATTTGGCAGATGAGTAAAATGAGACAGAGGTTTGTTGGTTTTACCTGGGTCCTATGACTAGTACATAGCACCGTTTTTGGGGGGCGGGGTGGGGTTGGTTTGTAGTATATATTGGGTGTAACACCCTCCCCCCACTTGAATGATAGAACTGTCCCATGCCACCTAATAGGAGAGGCATGCATGTACCACCAGTGGTTCACAGGCACTGGGCAATGAGATATGAGAAATTATAGCCCCATCATGAATGTATTAAACTTGTGATACTCTTGACTCAGCCTCCGTGAGTGCTGTGATTATAGGCATGCGCCACAGAACCTGGCTACAGCACTGGGTTTTGAGTGCAAATCTCTCTGGCTTTGCTGTCATTCAGGTACCGAGGTCTGCATGTTTTAGAGGAAACTGAAACCACAGACGGCACATGCTTGCCTTCAAGGCTCCAGGGGAAGACATAAGCTACTACCTGCCACCTGCTGTCATTGGTGTCCAACTTCAGAACACAGGGCTGAGGCTTGCGGGGAGATCAAGCTTTCAGAGCTTACCTCTTTCCTTAAAAGGCAGAAAGGGATTTAGATACACAGGAGAGAAAGAGGGTTTTCCAGGGCCAGAAGCACTGGTCAAGAGGTGGCCAACAGGACTAAACTTGGCTGTGGTGTGGGGAAGGAGGACACTAAGGAGTCTCGCTCTCCCCAGAGACACACAGAAAGGTGACGCTGCACACAGGAGGCTGGAGGCTGGAGGAGGAGGGCCCAGGAGGCCAGGCAGGGACATTTGGTCTCCATCCCAGAAAGCGGGGAGCCATGATGGAATTCGGAGCAGGGGAGGGCAAGCCGAAAATAGTGCCCATGAGATTCTCAAGAAACTCGAAAGCTCAGGGCCTGGAGGCCTCCCTGGGGGTTGCTGGTGGTGATGGGAGAGCCCTGCAGATCACGGCCAGCGTGCAGGGGTGATTACTGTGTACCAGCACTTTGCTGAGGATTTTACATGTATAAACTTGTTTAAGACTTGCAACAGTCTTGTAGGGAACATTATAAACCCTGTTTTACAGATGGGGAAACTGAGTCTCCAGGTAGTAATAGGACCTGAAATAGGGGCGGGCATTGAAACTGAATAGGAAGAATCAGATCCGAGGGTCATTGAAGGCACTGGCAGTGTAGCTCAGCGGCAGAGTGCTCATGCGCAGGGCCCTGAGTTCTACCACCAAAACCCCCAAATGTCATTGGAGAAGGAGGGCTGGGCTAGAGCTTGGCTGGGAAGAGGATGAAGGGATGGGAGGGTCTTCAGTAACTCCAAAATGGGAGCCAGTTTCCTGGTAGTGAGGGTTGATGAAACTTTGACCCAGATGCCAAAGGTAGACTCGTGATTATGTGAATGCTCTGTTAAGATGGACCTGTGATACTGGTGGAAGGCGGAATCCTTGAGCCCCAGCCAGCTACAGGTCCTCACCACAGCCCTAGATGGAGAGGATGATGGCCTTCGGGGTCAGCTTGGCAAAGGCAGGGCCTGCTGGCCCGCCCGTCACCAGGTACCCCTGGCCCCTGTCCTAAGCCAATGTAAAGCAGCCAATGCTCAAGCCCATGTTCCAACACAAGTCCCACTTAACAGAGATTTCCAGAAGCTTGGCTGATGAAGTTTGGATTATGAGTGGTGATAGCCCCACTGGATGGAAAAGGATATGAATGGTCACCGCCCCGCCCCATAGACCTCACCTCCATACCCCAGGGCCTGGAGCCTGTAGTCGGTGACACACCAGCTCTCCAGCAGTTGACCAAGCCAGAACTCAATCCAGACCTCAGACCACTTTGCTGCATGCTCTTGGATGAGTCATTTCACTTCCCCATCCTTTCCGTCTCGTTGTAAGCTGGGGATGCTGGAATACCCTCCTTGACTCGTCCAGGTGAAGGAATCAAGAGAAGGCCTCCGATGTGCTTAATGTAGGGTCCCACACCTAGTAGTGCTCATTTGGGTGAGCTGCATTTGTTGCCCCAGTCCCACTCGGGTCTGAGACTTCCATAGGGGCTTTGGACCAAGCCTGGGACTGGACAGCCCAGCACTGCTCCTTACAGGCTGCCCATGAGCTTAGCCTGGGCTCTTGCTTGCTCTCTCTCTCTCTCTGGCATTCTTGGCCAGATGCATGGTAGGGGTCAGGTTCAGCCCAGCCCTAGAGCATCCCTCTTCCTCTGGCACTGTAGAGGGCTCTTCAAGCAATTCCTTCCTACTCCCCAGCATTCTGCATCAGAGGCATGAAGCACTCTGGCCAATACTCCTTGAGGACCGACTAAGTGCCAGGCACTGGACTAGTGAATCCAGTCCTCACAGCTATTCCATAAAAAGCCTTGTCATGAACCCTTCTTATACAGGATTAAATCGAGGCCCCAGGAGTCTAAGTCTCTTCCTTGGAATTCTACAGTGATAGCTGAGCCAGGGCTTGAACCCCTAACCTCCGTGCCATTCTGAACAAAGGAGACGGAAGCCATTCTTCGTGCACTAGGCATGCGTTTTGATAACCTGCCGACAGCCCGGTTTTGCTGCTTCTCTGAGTACAAGGGAAAAGAGCCATCTGTCGGATGCTTTTTTGAGGGAGCGGGTGAGACTGTTTCAGGGTAAAATGCAGAGAAATAGCATCACTTTTTTTTTCCTGTCGTGGTAAAAATAACCTGCAGGGATGGGAAGAACAAATGGCAGTTGGGAGGCTGGCACAGGGGGGAGGTAGAAGCTGGTGTGCTGGGGCTGTCCTGTGCTGCAGGGGGCCACAGCAATGCCACCTGCAAGGCCACCACCATCGCCATCGGCCTGCAGAAGTACAGGGTCTCCCCCAGAGGGCTTGGGGCCCAGGGAAGCTCAAAGGGTAGAGGGGACCCCTAGAGGATGCGGGCGACAGTTCAGCTCATGTCCCCACCCAGGATGTGGCTGTGCCCAGGTGTGCCACCCCCTGTGTCAGCCACCTCCAGAAAGAAACCGGGCAGAGCCTTGGATTGTGAGATATTTTTTTAAAGATTAAAAAAAAAAAAACCTGAAAGTAGTTGGAGAAGTTGAGATTATGTTAATTTATGCAGTTTCCACTGCTGCAAGGATTAAAATAGCTTCCTTTCCAGAAAACCAGAGATGCTGACTATCCGTCTGCCTGCTTGTTAGGTTCTGGGGACAGGACAGGTCATAGATGATGAAAACCATGGTGTGAGGCCCAGACCTGGGCTGTGTTCAGGTGGCAGTCTTCCCCTGCTCATGTCATAGAACTTTCCTCTGAGTCCCTGTGACTCAGCCAGCTCGTCTCTGCACGTCACCGTTCAGTCCTGGCCTCCTGCGTCCCGTTGGCTCTGTGCTGGGTGTGCTAGGCAGACACACTGATTATTCGGAGGTCAGTTTCAGGTTTAATAGTCATCCTTTGTTGACAGCCTGGTGAGGGCTAGGATTTTCAGGGTGAGACTCTTCGAGATCTCTGAGAGTAAGAAGACCGGGAAATGACATTTATATGATCCATTGTACAGAAGGGATTGCTGGGGGCTCCTGGGTAGAATTGACTTGCTAAGAATTAGAGAGCTAAGTGGCAGCAGGGCTGGGACTTGGGACAGATGTCTACATTCATCATCATTTTGTCAGCCTGCCTTCCCCAGCCATCTGGAGTCAGAACTCAAAATGTGAGTAATTAGGGAAGATTGGGGGCCTTCAAAACACTGTCCTAGCTCTCCTATCCTGTAGTGCCCATGCTTCCCAGGGGACAGGAAAGGCACTTATCAAATGTCACCTGTCTGGTAAAACGCAGAGCCAGAATTCAAACTCAGATCCCCACCCCGCAAAGCCTAGACTTGCAAGAAATCATCATCTCTTCCGAGCTGTGCTGTTGGAAATGTTGATTACAGCTGTCATGACCATAATGTTACCTTTAGGGTAGCGTAGGCAGGGAACCCCCACCCCAATATAAACAGGGCATCTGGAAAATACTTTTCAAGGTGCACCTATCTAAATATAAAACACTTCTTGCCAAATGTCAAGGAGCCAGCACCGTGTCAGTGGACCAAGGTGACAGTCCGCGGGAGAGCTACCAGGAGACCTGTTCTCCTGCTCCCCTGTATCAGGACCCAGCCAGAGAACCCAAGGCCACACCAGAGCAACTCAAAGTGTCTGGGTGACACCACGAATGGGCAGTTCAGACAGGGCATTGAAGGAGAGCTGAGGACAGGAACGCCGTCGGTGTAGGTCAGATTTGGGGACATCTGGGGATGTCCCAGGCTGGGAGGAGATTTATAAGAAGTTGAAAAAGACTCAATTTCAAGGACAAAAATGACCATGGAAATAAGAAAAAATAAATGAAGAAGAGAGCACAGCTAGATGTGTACCAGGCTGTGGGTGGGGGCAGGGCGAATAAGGTAAGAATCGCAGCTTTTGGGGATCTTGCAGCCTGCAGGGGGAAGCCAGGCATTAACCACATCATCACAGGAGGAGGAAGGGAAAGGGAAGCAGGGAGGGGCTGTCTATCTGTAGACATGCATGGCAGGGAAACAGGCTGGGAAGTGGTATCACCTGGTGATCGCGGGCGTCGGGGTCACCGAGCGTGAATTTCAGAACCATCCTCGCTTCTTCTTAGCTCCATGACTCTGGGCCGGGACCTTACACTCTAACCTCAGTTTTCTCATCTCAGAAGCACTGACAAACCTGCCCGCCTGGTCAGGGCAGGGGCTGGAGAGGGTTAAATAAAATCCAGCAAGGGATGCAGTTAGCCCAATGCGTCGTGATGATTGCAAGTGATTATCTGACTTCTGAGACCTGAACAGATCTGAAGGAGCCAGTGGGAAGGGCTGGGATGAGCAGGTGCTGTGGATGCCTGATGGTGGCACTTCTGACCATCAGATAGCTAAGAAGAGGGGCCTGAGCGCTGCTGCCCCAGCGGCCCTTGGAGCAGTTGGTGCTGGCTGTGTTGCCCATGCCTCTGGTTGTGAGAAGGTGTGAAGACAGAAGATAAAGCTCTGAAGATCAAAAGGCTAAAACGGAAGTTTGGATGCTTCTAACAGGGAGCTTCGGTTTTCTGGAAACTTCCATGGTGGAAGAAGAGCTCCTTTGAGCTTGAGAATCTTTCAGCCTCTTCTGCCCCTTCTGTGCCAGCCAGGGCACTTTCCACCCATTATGGCACAACCCAGGCAGGGCAGGGCCACCAGACACCTATCTGCTGAGGAACCTGGAAGCCCGTCCACCTTGCCGGGCTGCATTTCCAGTTTGCGAGATGTAGATTTTTAATGTGAGTGACAGATGAGGGAGAGGCACATCCGGCAGATGAAAGATAGCTCCATCTGCGTGGGTCTGGAGAAAAGATGGAGATCAGAGAGGGATGCTGATGGCTTTTCCTAAAGAGAAACTTGCGGGTGGGTTTTTCAAGGAGAAAGCAGCATTGACAGAGAACACAGGTTCCCAGATTGGTACTTGAGGGCAGACCCCAGAGGGGAAGTTGGCAGAGGTGGCTTGTTCCCGATGGAGACCAGGGAGGGCAATTCCTGGCCACTCTGAGGGAGCGTGGTCCCTGTCCTCAGGAGAAGCCACTCAGGTTTCAGCGCACAGGCTCTTACAAGGTGCTGCTCTGCAGTGGACACAAGAGGAGGACTCTCCTGCCATGTGGGGCCCCTCCCAAGGCCCTGCAACAGGGCAGGGTGTCCCTGGACTCCCCTGGCAGCTGGTACTGCGGGATATGCCCCTGCCACCCATCCCATCAGTTTCTGTTGGGAGAAGGGGAGGCAGCGAGGGGGAACACACAGCTCATAGCAGAAGGAGCCATGCAGGTGCACCGAATGTAAATAAATCTCGCCCTCTTCCTTGGGGTCATCCTCCTTGATTTACAAAGTCTAAAGTCATTTTTTGACCATTCAGAGGTACCAGGTTCTCTGTGAGACTCTTTGCGTGTTCATTTACTGTTCACGGCAATTTCAGTGTGCTCATTTTATTGTTTTAATGAGACAGGGGTAAGTACACAGGAAAGAGTGCGGGGGATTCAAACTCAGATCTGTTCCCCTCTTAATTTCTGCTTTATAAGTTATACTAGGATCCTAAATCCTTCTGTTTTTGTTTGTTTCAAGACCTGGTCTCACTATGCAGTTCAGGCTGGCTTTGAACTTACTTATGTAGCCCAGACTGGCCTTGACCTCTCAGTGATCCTCCTGCCTCAGCCTCCCAAGTGCTGGGATTACAAGTGTGCACCACAACACTTTTCATTCAACAATGCTCTGTTTGCCACTGTCCTCACTACCTCAAGTTGTTTGCCCCCTGGCCAGCAGCTTGGACCCTCGAGGAATATAAGTTTTGCTTGTCAGTGAGCGAGGAGTGTGGGATGGGTTTGGGGATACCTGAGAAAAGACTTCAGCTCTTTGGTCCCTCTGAAGTGGGGAGAAGAAGATGGCAGTTCCAGACGCACCCAAACTGAGCCAAGGAACAGTACCAGAGCCCTGGAAAGATCTAAGCTTTGGGCTTAGAATCAGTACTCAGGAATCTGAGTTTCATACGGTCCCTAAAGGGGACTTTGAAGAGGGAAATGCACTGGTCCTGGTTGGTGGCTCAGGAGAGGAGAAAGGTCCCGTGCTCATCAGAGCTGCAAGCAGACACCTGCTGCGGGGCAGCAGTGAGGCTAGAGGGCATTGCTGGCACTTTGTGATCTGGGATCACCTACTACAGAGCCTGAAGCGAGGTGGCAGGAGAGACGAGTGCCTGCGGGAGTTTCAGCGCAGTAAAATGTCCATGGAGGATGAATCCATGGCAGACTACGAATCTGCAGCGGGTCTTGAAGTTTGAGGGGTTTGTTCCAAAGAAGTAGGTAAATAGCATTCTAGGCAGAGGGGATATCGTAAGGGGAAAGAACAGAGTTCGGAAAACATGGTGAACACCTTCAGGAAGGAGATTTACTCCCGAGCTGGAGACCACCGTGGGGAAGAGTGTGGTACCAGAACAGAACCGCAGAGAGCATTTGATTTAGTGGCCCAGGCAGTAACCGTAGCAAACATTTGTTGAGCACCTGTTACCCATCTCCATGCTTTGGGCATGTTTCACATATTGTTGCCTGCAGTTCTCGAGAAAAGCCTCTAAACCTTTACTAATTAGGAAACTGGCGCCAAGCATTGATTGTCACGTTCCGGGTTGCCCGGCTGGCAACTCAGGCATCCTGGCCCCAGAGCCCAAGCTCCTAACCTCGTGTCTGTGCTGTTTCCAGCAGCAGCCATCAGTCTGGGAGGGAAGTGAGACCCGACAGCCTCCATTGGCTCCTCTGTGACACTGGCTAACATCTCTTCATCGGGAAATAAAGGTGGTGTGTGCAGAACACACAGCCAGTGCCCAATAAATGGCCAGACTGAACACAGAATTCGCTTCACAGTGCTCATTACCAGAGTCCAGGATCGGGGACACCTGGCACCCTCGCTGTGGTGCTCCAGGGAGGATGCTGAGGCTAGCATGCATGCCCCCTGGCTGCACCTCGAGCTGGTTCCCTCCACCGAGGCCTGGCCTGGTTTCCAGCCTTCCCATTACTAGATAATGAGAACAGTCACCCTTTACCCTCCTGCCCAAGACGGCAGAGAATCAAGAAGACTCCTCACTTGCCCATCCACCCAATCCACACATGAGTGAGAAGCCAGGGCAGACAGGTTCCTGTTCTGGCCTCCCCTTGGCCACCTCTCTGGAAGCAGTATCTGCTAGTGCCACCCTGTGGCGTTTCACAGCAATGCATGCACAGAGGCTGCCGCAGTGTCTCCTTTAAGGCGCTTGGCATGCCTGAGAATGCAGAGTTCAATTCAGTTAAGCGCAAAAGTGCGATCAGAAAGAGGAAAGTAGCAAGATTTGGAAGGGAAAGTGCCATGAGAAGAGTCCTGTAGCCTCTGTTCAAATCCTGCCCACCCATCTGGGACGACAGACACATGACAGAACTTCGTGAGCCCGTTTCTTGTGACAGTTGTCCACGTCTCCCCAGAGATGTGAGGCTCCCGTGAAAGGCTTCATAGAGTGCAACCCCCTGATGCAGGAGGTGAAGATTATTGTGGTTGCAAGAGCGGGTGAGGTCAGTACTTCCGGGCCTGCAAGTCGGGTTCTGGCCTATTGTAACCCCCACTGCTCAAGCCCATCAAGGACTGGGGACAGGTGCAGACTTTGGGTACTCCCTCTTTGCTGGCCCCAAATGTCTTCCATGTGGGTGAAATGCTGGGATCTCACCCCTGCTGGTCCTCCCTTGCCTGCAGCCTCCTTGCACAAGGTACCTTCTGGTGACATTGCTCTGTGCCTGCCACAATTGTTTCTGAGCCCGTGCCTGTGTTTCCTCAAAGGACAGAAGTCTAGGTCTCACTAAGGGACAGAATGCCGGACTGCCAGGTGAAGCCTTGCCCCAGGGCTGGACATGGCCGAGAGCTGAGTCTGCAGGCCCAGGAATGTGCTGGCTGGACACACAGCATTTGCTCTTCCCTTCTGCTGCTGGACACAGAGCCCCATGTTTGCGCCAGGCAGTTTTCCTAGTGGCTTCTCACCATCCTGCTCTGGCAGTGTCTGGACTGATCCAGCCCAAGGAGCCCCGAGGGTCTGTTGCCACATTGGCTGTGGCCCATTTGGGTCCAGCGGGGTCCTCCCAGCCTCAGGTCCTAATGCCATGCACATCCCACAGGTCCCAAGGGCTGCCTCGCCCATGACACCCTCTCCTCCTTTGGGGGCTCCAGATGCAGTTGGTTTCGTGGAGCACCTAGTGTTATGTGAGGTACGGGATATCCTTCTGGAGCCCATCTCATTTCTTCCTCCAGGCAGCCCCAGAAGGGTGCTGTGACGGTTCCCATATTACAGGTGAGGGAACTGGGGTGTTTGGAGGTTTGCTCATTTTGTGAGCTGCAGGCTTGGTTTCAAACCCCAACTTCTGCCTCAGGGCTGGTGTCTGCTCACCGCCCCAGACACCCAGGCAGGTGCTCACTCCCCTGAGCCAGCTGCAGGCTCCCACATCATCATCTCCCTGCCCCGAATTCTTCCAAGGTGCTGGGCCCTCCCTTGGGGACCCCACGGAGACAGAGAGAGCAGAGTGCTGAGGGTGGAGGAGCGCAGGCCCCGAAGTGGCCTTTAAGGTTCTCTTTTCCCTCAGGATTTCCATTAGTAATCTTAATTCAAAGGTAAGAGACACAAAAAGCTTTTCAAAAGATTTATAACCAGGGTATAAAACCAGTAACCTCATTTTCCCTCCTTCCTATTGTCGCAGCAGTTCACCTCTATGAACAGTTGTTTTGTACCATTTCGGGAACTTTTGTACAAGAACAAGCATATTGAGGTCCTCCCCTGGGTGGGTGTCACTTGTTGTCCCCTGGAGGCCTCTTTCCTGTCTCCCATCTCTCAGGTGTCCCTGATGTGGAGTCAGGGGTGTGTCTCACAGTCTCCTGGACAGTGTTAGGACCCACACAGTTCGCTGTGCTGTTGCCCTCCCAGAGGATATTCTGCTGGCTCTGGGCCTTTGCAATGATGAATGGTGCCCTGGTGACTTCTATATCTTTGTATAGTTGACGAGACAGACCGTGGATGAAAGGACTTCTGGAAACCGACTTACTGGGTTAAAACATGTGCTTTTAAATTTGGCTTAAATACTGCAGAATGGCTCTCTGGAAGCTGTGGATCAGCTCACACTCCCACCGGCAGGGGGAGGAGAAACGATCTCCACCTGAAGATGAGACCAGTGGTTAGCAGGGTGCTGGTGATTCCGAGGCACCCAGGAACTGCTTAGAACCCCTGTGCAGCTTCAGCCTGCACGGTGTCTGGAATTCTCACCTATTCCTTGAACAGGGGCATTGACTCTCCAAGGCTCAGATGTTACAGGATCATCCATCAGTCCCCAGAGCCCCCACTCGGAACCCCAGAAGGGTGACAAGGGAAGTCTGCTTGTACTTATTAACAGTGGACTAAGGGAAGGTGGCATTAGGGCTTTCCTGGGCCATCAGCACTGTTGCCTTCATGGATTTTCTCCTTCACTAAAACAAGAAAAAAAAATAGTACATTAAAAAGTATGTTTTGTGACTACCTTGGCATAAGACTGAGATAATCCAGGATGGACTGTATTCACTGTTTTCTTTTGGTTTCAAAAAATTAAAATGGTGTCATCAGCTCCTAAAAGCACTGTGCACCCTGAATGTCATCTTTACTGTGCCTTGTGTTGGCCTTGGCCTTGTTCCCCAGGGTACCTGCCCCAGTGCTCACCCTGACTTTGGACACTGAAAGGCCCATACGGGGGACAAACAGTCCTCATGTAAAGAACCAGGCAGCCTTTGGGTGGGGGTCGAGGCTCATGCCCATTACCAAAGCACTAGCTCCTGTAGTTTCCAGAGTGTTTTGAGCAACATTATTTTATTTCTGGCCATCTGCCCATTTTACAGATTACAAAATCAAGGCACTGAGAAAAGAGAAGTAGCTTGTCCTAGACATACAGTGAACAGGAAATAAGGCTGTAGAATCAAACACAGTCTCAGTCCTTTTCACGGCCTCCTGCAAGGCCAGTGGTGCCAGCTGGGGTCAGTCGGATCTTCTGATCCAGATTTGTTCTCTGGACTTCCTCCTAGAGATGTGACTTTACACAAGACAGTGCCTGACAGTGCAACAGCCTGCAGGTCACACAGTGGAGTCCCCATGTTTGGGTGACAGATGGTTCCTGAGTGTCTCCCCAAGTGATTGGCTTTGGGGTGTGAGTGTGTGTGCATGTGTGTGTGTACATGCAAACATGTGCATGTGTGTGTGTGTGTGTGTGTGTGTGTGTGTGTGTGTGTGTGTTTGTATACGTGCATGTGTATGTGTGTGTGTTTTTTTCAAACTATAGCAAAATTAATTGTCACACATGCCCGGGACCTTATTTTAATGCAAGTAGAGCATCATTAGGAATTCAGAATTAGGTAGCTCAGCATTAATTACCTTTTATTTATGGAGTATGTTTATTGTCATTAACAAGACAAATGCTTGAAGGGCAGGGAAGGAGGATTCTTCAGGAGCAGGTGGATTTAAGAAGTAATGTGTGGGTGGCAAAATCAGAAATGGCGTCTTTCTTTCTTTCTTTTTTGTCTTTTTCATTTTTATTGGTACCGGGGATCAAACTCATGACCACCTGCTTGCAAGGCAGGTGCTTATGCCGCGGAGCTAAATCCCCAGCCCTGTGTTTCTTTTTTTACTTGTATTCTGTCTGATTCCTGTGTTCTGATTCTCCTTACCCCTTTCCATAGGCTCTGTGTCCATCTTGGGAATTCTGATCCTGTTTTATCCCTATTGTGCCGTCTACAGTGTCAAATAGCCAGGCCTGCTTTCTGGGATACATACACCTCCAGGTTCCTGTTCCTGATGGAAAGGGGCCATGAGATGAAGCTTTAGAATGCCAAGCTTTCATCATGTCCCTGCCATCTTAAAAAGCTTATAACTATTGCCAGGAGTGGTGGCATATGCTTGTATTGTCAGCAATGGGGAGGCTGAGGCAGGAGGATTGCTGCATAGCCCAGCCTGCATAGCCAGCACTTTATAGTGAGTTCAAGGCCAGTTTAAACTACATAGTGAGACCCTGTCTCAGAAAAACAAGAAAAAAATTACAACTATTAATTATCTGCATTTTACTGAACATGTATTATATCCTGGGTACTTCTGCAGCACACATGTTATTTATGGCCTAATAATTCTTTGGGGTAAGGGATAATTACATGGGGTTTATAGATGTGAAACTTGAGACTCTGAGTTTGAGTCAATAGCTTGAGGTCACAGAGAAAAAATGACTCAGATTTGTCACCATCCAATATCACTCCCACAGGGCCATCAGAAAGGGCCAGACAGAACATGCTCACCACACAGCTGGGCAGGAGCTGAGCCTTGGCACTTGGAGCCATCGGGGTCCAAGCAGCCCCGCAGGGAGGCCAAAGGACTTTGTTCCATTTTCAGCTTCCTCTGCCTTCTGTGTGTGTCTTCCCACAGTGGTCTTGATCTGGCTGAGGGCTGTTTGTTTTCTAAAGCTAAAAATCAAACTGGGATTATGATGCATGCCTGTGATCCCAACACTCGGAAGGCTGAGGCAGGAGGATCACAGAGTTCAAGGCCAGCCTGGGCTACATAGTGAGTTTTAGGGCAGCCTGAGTGCACAGTGAGACCCTGTGTCAAACCAAAAAACCAAAAAAAACCCTAAAAAGATGGGAAGAGCCATGACTGTTTTCCTTTCCAACAGTGATCTCTTCTGGAAAACAAGACTTGGAAGCCTTGGTTGGGCTGCCATGGCCCCCTGTCCCCAGTGGGTAGCATGAGATGGTACACAGCCCAACAAACCTGAGTGCTTGGTCCACTGAATGTGGCTTCGTAATTGGTGGCTGGCATGGGGTAAGCCCGCCTCTGCACTGTGCTGGGACCTCTGGTGTGATGGGGCAGGCAGGACCAGGGAGATTGGATCTCCCAGCTCACACTTGGTTCTCCCGTTTGTTTCAAGGTCCTTACAGAGGCCGTGTGTGTCTGGGGATCCTCACCTGGCCTTAGGTGACGGTGAGGTGCACCTGCTTGCCTGCATTCCACAGACTGGGTAGCAGAGATTGTGGACTTATTTACTGAGCATCTATGACACTGAAGGCTTGAGAAGTCTGGAATCCGGGAGGAGGAGAAAGAAACGCACTTGGGGTGGGAATGTCACAACCTAGGCTGGGTTTGAATGCTCCTTGTGTTACCTTCTGCTGTTTATCTTTTGGGGATCTCACTCCTGCGGGAAGGAGTGGGACCCCCTTATTCTCCATTTAGCAAGAAGCCTGGCACAGTATACATGCTGAATAACACTGTTGAGAGAATTCAGTGTGAAGATGAGGACAGAATGCTTAGGAGGGTCGGCCGCCATGTGTCATTAATATAATGGGGGAGAGGGAAGCACCACTTCTGCAGGGCCTTGCTGGCCAAGGAGGAGCTGGCTGGGAGGAGAATGAGCATCTCTGGGACTCCGATGGGGAAGACATGGATGCATGGGAACTTGATCAAGGACGTTGATGGGCAGGGGTGGAGAGGAAATGGACTGAGCCGCCAGGCTGGTGAGTGGTGAAATCCAAGATTGGAGCCCAGAACTTCTTAGCCCAGCTCAGGTGGCTTCTGGGCCATCCAGCGGTCTCCTCTTCGGTTCACTTTTACCACAGATTGTGTATGCATCTCCTGTGAGATGCTCTTTGAATTAAGAGCTTCTGAGAAGCAGCATTACACAGAGCATTCGGCAGGGATCAATTCGTCCTTCAGTTTCCTTCTGCACAAGCCTACAGGCTACTGTTGGTGGTCACGGCCAATCGGCGCAGCCCTTGCAGGCCGCCCTAGGCCTGGAGCTCACCATGCGGTAGAGGTGGAAACCAAGGCTGAGGTGCAGGTGGGGACTCCCCCTTCCAACTCTGTCCCTGCTCTGTACGGCTCTAGCTCACTGCCAAACTGTAGCTGCCGCGACTTAGTTTCCAGTTTGAATAAAATGTCATTATCCCTAATATGACTTTATTCTTTCCATCAGAAGCTGGAAGATTAGAGGATTGGAGGCAACCAGTAATTAGGCTCACCTGTCAGAGCTGCGCTCATGTCAGAGCGAAGTGCGTCCTCTAACTTCGCCTTGCATTTCTCTGCATGTCAAGGCAGCTGTCAAGGCAGCTGGATTAAGCTCCTTATGGGGACGATGACTGACCCCAAAATGTTAGAACAAGGATTACCGAGATGGAATTTGGCTCAGTTACCTGCTTGTCATGATTTAGGAGAGCTGGAGATTCTCGAGCTGCTTAAGGAAAGTACTCATTGGTGAGGAAAGCTGGGTTCCAAACCATTAACAGCTGGTGGAAATGGTTTCTAAGATCGCAGCGTGCGGACACGATATTCATCTGTACCCCAGAGATGAACTTCAGGCCAGTCCGGGGACAAAAGTGAAGAGTCCACAGAACCTTTCAGTGCCATTTGTCATCTGTGGCTTTGAGGGAGCTGTGTCGCATACTTTGTTCCCGATGATGGGCCACATGAGCCAGAGGCTGGATGGGTCTTTGTTCTCCACTCTTGAAAAATTACAGTCTGGCGTACTTCAAAGGGATTCTAACGAGGCTGTCCGAGGCACAGACTCCAGCTTTGCACATTCAGATTTCAGCTCCACGGAGTTCAGCGCAGCTCAGTTTCGGTAGTGAACATTCGGTCTTTTCCTTTCTTGGGTCCAGGTAGGGTTGTCATGGAGATGCTCCATCATTTTCATTGTCACCCTGGCTTTCCTCAGTTGCTTCTGCTGTGTCCATTCTGTCCAGGTAGCTTTGACTCTCGGTGACTTCTCGCCAGCTCCATCCCACTCTCATGCTGCCTCAATGGCTCTCAACGACTGTTTTTTGCTGCTTCCAGAACATTCCCCAGTGTAGGAAACTGGAGATATTCAGTCAGGAAGGGGCTTTCTAAATAGCTCTAGTTCAATCCTCACTTCATATAGAGTAACTGAAGCCCATAGAGGGAAAGCAACTTGCCAAAGAAGTCTGCAAGCTCCCACATACGAGCTATACACACCCCCAGTGCTGCCCCATGAGAGCTTCAAGGCCCTGACAAGGCACAAACCGTCTGTCTGCTGGGCTCTGCACTGGTCCTTTTTGTGCACACCAAATACAGTTCTCACCTAGTACTCTACAGTAGGAAATCTGGTTTACAGATGGAGAAACTGAGGCAGCTTTCTGCTCACGCTGGATGCTGCCAGCTCTTGAGAGTCAGTTGTGTGTGTCTTTCCCCATCTCCACATTCAGGATAGCAGCTTGCTGGTTGGACTTGGCCACAGTGAGACTATTTACACAACAGAAACTGGCAAATGCTACAAATCAGGGCTTTCTCTCTCCGTCCCCTTCAGCATTAGCAGAGATCCGGTTTACCAGTACTCCACGGAAAATGAGGTAACTTGCTACTTGGGGAGGAAACAGGTCTCTGACTTTAAAACCTGAGCTCTTTCCCAATACCCTGCAGTGCTAATCAGCACTTTATTTCTGTCTTCAACTGTACTGTGGTTTGAACACAGGACCTCCTGCATGCCAGCTGGGCCACACTCCAGCCCTAATAGGCCAGGTTTGCAATGCCTCATTCCCTCTTGGCTGGAGGTGACGCAGGAGAAGCTGGGCACCGAGGGTGGTGGCAGAGTGCAAGGGTTCTCGTGTGGCCCCCAGGAGAGGGAGATTCCCCGACCACACTCTGCTGTAACCACTGGCCACTGCCTCTCGTGCTCTCCCAGTGCTTTGAGTTTCCCAGCTGGCTTCAGCTCAGGCCCTCTTGTCCTGGCTCCCGCTGCCTCACAGGCTCTTCCTCCGAAGCACAGAGCTTGCTGCCCACTCCCTTGTTGTCTGTGCTCTTCCTAGACCAGCCCATCTAGATTAGCATCACTCTGTTCATTTCCGTGTTGATTCTCATAACTCAGTCACCATCTGTCTTCGCCCCACACACGTGTTTGCTTTGGGTCTTCTCTCACTGTGGAATGTAAGCTCCAGGTAGGCGGGACCTGTGTCATGTTCACCTTTAGCTTCAGAGTGCAGAATAGGGAGGGACTGGATGGATGAAGGTGGGTGGTGTTGGACCCTGTGTGCCGCCCTTCCTGGACTTAGCTTGGGCAGACAAGCACCGGCTCAGATACTTAACTTGGAAGGCAAAGGCTTTCTCCCGGCTCTCTGATTTCACCAGGTCTTCCATGTGTATAAACCATCTTCTCTCGACCCTTGGGGCTATTTCTTTCATGTTCCTGCATTACCCCAAAAGAAGGCCAACTGTCACATTGGCCAGTGCTGATTTGCTGACAAATAATTCATCAAACATTTTGCAAAGGAACCTTTGACCCTGGGAACTAATTACATTTCCATCTTGGAAGTGAATGTATCTGTGTCATTTAAACCGATTATTTAAGAGGGTGTTTGGGGCTGATTGACTGTGACCTTTGGAGAAACAAATAAGAGGGTGCTTAGGTGACAGCCAGTCATGGGAACAGCTGCAGGGATCCAGGTGAGGTGCCTGTACTCTCATCGTGACCTGGAGAGCCACACCAATATTGTTTTCCACATTTCTGAGGCCACGCCTGCTGGTAAACACAGAACCATGTGTGTTAGGTGTGTCCCCCTCACACTCACATACACCCAGCTGCCTTTTTCACTTACAAGTTTCATAGATTGCGGAAAATTTCAGCCATGTGGACAAGGGAAAAAGATAATTAGAAATCTGGGATCTCAGCCCAGAGATAACAATTGTGAATATTCTGATTGGTTTCCTTCGTGGTCTTTCTTCCCTACCAATGTACAGTTAGCATTTTGTAACCCATATTTTGAAAGACTTAATACATCAGCTCCATGTCCTTAAATACTTCTGCACAGTCTCTTTTTTTTTTTTTTTTTTTTTTTGTCTTTTTCCTTTTCATCGGTACCGGGGATCGAACTCACGACTGCCTGCTTGCAAAGCAGGTGCTTATGCCGCTGAGCTAAATCCCCAGCCCCTCTGCACAGTCTCTTTGACTAGCTGGAAAGTATTCTGAGGGCATCATGATTTAAGTCACTGCCGGCCATCGGATGGGTGTACTGTTTCCAGCTGTCAGGAGAACGTGGTCACGGAGCGACTGCTGATGAGATTTAGCTAAGCAGCTACACCCTCGAGGTCATGCGCTTCAGTACCTGGGAAGGAACCGATGTGGACTAAACATCTACGTCTCCCCGCTATGCACTGAACCCCTCATCCCAGAGGCAGTGGTGTTTGGAGATGGAGCCGTGGGGGTAGTCAGGTTTAGATGAAGTCATGAGGCAGCATGAGAGCCCCATGGTACCATCGCTGCCGAAGAGATGGAACTCTGCTCTCTCCAAGGTGTGAGGTGGGCCATTGTCAAGAACCCAACTGTACTGACACCCTCATCTTGAATTTCCAGCTTCCAGGACTACGGAGAGTAAGTGTTTGTTGTTTAAGTGCCCTCTCTTGTGCTATTCTGTAGTAGCTGTCCAAGCTGATCGAGACACCCCAACCTCACTGAATCCTCCCCCTATACTTGCCATTATTATGACCATGATTTGACCGCAGGGCCTTTGCATATTCTGTTCTCTCTGTTTGATGGCCTTTTTGCCTGACATCCCTTCACCTATTATAGATTTCTTCTCCACCCCCCTCCAGTAATACATTTCTTTGCGTTTTAGTATTTCTGAATCTAAAAGTTAGTGTGCATGTTTGGATGGTAGTGACTCATGGGCTTGAGAAAGACTACACTCCCCTTCCTTCCCAAAGTTCAGCTCAGGCAATGCCTCCTGTGTTTGGGGTCCCTCCTGGGCCCTCAAAACCCCTTCTTCCTCCTCCTCCTCCTCCTTCTTTGGAAACACAAAGCTGTCTTGTTCCATACGTGCCTGATAGCCAGGCTCCAGGAAAGGTGCTGAAGCAAGACAGGATGAGGGAAGCTATGCCTACCCGTGATGGCTGGAGACCTCCTTCCCAGACGCCCTGTGGGCAGGACAGAACCTCTCGCCTCTGCCAGCTGTGAGCTGCTCCCACTGCAGGCCCAGGCTGTGTGTGCTGGCTCTCGGAGGGCAGAAGGCAGGTGGGTGGGAGGAGGTTTGGGTCCTTCACGCCCATGTGGCTGTAAGGAGCTTCCAGGAAGCCATACACCAGCACAGCCAGCGATTGTTCCTTGTGCTTCAGAATGACACTCTGGAGTCACAAGTGCTTGGATTTCAGCTTTACAAAAGGGCCTGCTGGAGAGATCGCCTTTCCTGCTGTCCCTCTGGCCCAGCCCAGTATACAATGACCATGAAACAAATTGGCCATTTGAGCCACCTTTCAGTGCCCCCTCCTCCCGGCTTCTCTGCTTTCTCTCCCTGCTCCCGGGCCTTTCTCTTTGTTCTGAGTTCGCCTTCCCTTATCTGCCCTGCATGACTTTTACTTTGGTTTTTGCTGATTTGCTCCAGTTCCGGAAAGAACGCAGTACCTGTGAGCCCCAGGCAGTGTCTGCACAGAGGTGGGAGGACACAAGATCATCCTTTCTGGTTGGGAAGGTGAATGGGCAGCTGCTGATTTGAGAAGGACAGGAAGGATTCTAACAGGTGACCAAATGGTGGAAGAAAGGGAAAAGCCAGCACAAGCACAGGCAAGAGCAGGATGTGAGGACTCAGAAAGGCGAAGCAAGTACTTAGAACATCCATAGCTGACCTGCGATGTGCTGGCCATGGCCATTTGTGGGTGGCTCGGGCCTCATGCAGGTCCCTGTTTCTGGTAGCTCATTGAGTCTCTTCTCACGTTTATTTGCACACTCGAGCCCCACAACAGCCCTTCTGTTGTTGTCGTGTTACACATCGGGTCATTGAAAACAGGGCGGTGAAGTGAGCTGCCCACAGTCACAGCACGGCTGAGATGAGACGTGAGAGCTGGACTCTGTCCTTCTCTTATCTTTCTAATGTGTTTAAGCTCCTGCCTGCATCCAAGGCATTGTGGCAAGGGTGATTTGATGCCATCAGAAGATTCCATGCAGCAGGTGGCTTCACCCATTGCCAGTGTCTTCTCTTCAAGTCCTAGAGGCCACACACCCCAAAATCAAGGTGTTGGCAGGCATGGCTCCTTGTGAGAGTCCTCCAGAAGAATCTGTCCCTGTATCCCCTTGGCTTCTGGTGGTTGCCAGCAACTCTTGGGAGATATTCTTTGGCTTGGACCTGCGTCTCTCCAATCTGTGTTTTCATCTTCACCTGTCCTTGTTATAATGACATCAATCATTGGATTTATGACTCACCCTCATCCAGGGTGAGCACTTTATAATGAATCACATCTGCAGAAACCTCATTTTCAAGTTAGGTCACTTCTGAGGTTCCAGAAGACACTAATTTAAGGAAAAACATTCAGCATAGCTTAGGCCCATCTCATGAAGAGCCTACAGGACCATGCAGAGGATTTGTGCTGTGGGCAAGGACAATCAAGGAGGGGCTTCAGCAGGGGAGATTGACCTGTCTATAATCCCACACTGTGGGAGCTGGAGGCAGGAGGGACTTAAGTCTGAGCCCAGCCTGGGCAGTTTAAAAATTCATGAGGACTCGTGCTCAGGCTGTGCTCAGGCTGATCAGAATGGGGAGCAAGCTCTTCCAAATCTGAAAGCATTAATCACAACAAATCTGTTCCCAATGAGAGCTCAAAAGACCAATCAGGACCTGCTTCTCTGTTGGTTTCCCTGTCCTTCCTTTGCATCCAGCCCCATGGGTCCCTGGACCTTCAGCACAGAGCCCTTTCCTACAGTCTCCCTGGGATAGGAAGTGTGTGCAGCAGCTGCCCGGGGGCAGACTGGGATGGGCTACTGAGTCCAGGGGTCCTGGGAAAGCTTGATGGAGTAGCCTGTGCCAGGTGGATGCAGATACAGCAGCCCTAGGTGCAGCTTATGAACCCTGCATTCACCTGCCCCTGCAAATGTGGGACAGGAAAGCCCAGGGGAGTCTCAGCCCTGCTCTGGTGGTATAAACCACAGGCCCCCTCTGCCTTGGCCCTTGCTTAAGCCTTGAATGGGCTGTAAAGGAGTAGGTTTGGGGGTGGCACAGTTGGCCTCAGCAGGTGCTTGGAGGCCTCAGGCTTCTGTGGTTTTTTAGCAAAACTCCCCAAGCACGTAGCAGAATTTCTTCAGATCCCTGGGCTGGAGTTCAGGTAAGGCAGCAGACAAAGAAAGTTTGAATACCTAAATTAAAACCATGTGCTCCTCTAGGGGCCTGTGACCTAAGACAAATTGCATGATCTCTCTGAGTGCCAGTTTATGGGCTCTGAATGAGAGTGGGACATAAATTTTCAGGAGGATGAACCTCTTAAGGCATGGTTTGGGATGGGAGGTGTGAGGAAAATGCCCAGCCCTCTATGCAGCACGCAGGGACAGCTTACCTGGTGGCAGGTATGGAGCATCCTACACCTTGTTCTGAAGATGCTTCACAGAGTGTCTTCTTGGGTCTGCATCACAGCTGCAGAAGTTAGTTCTACGATGACCTCTGTTGTTGTACAGGGAGGGAATTGTGACTTGGAGAAGTTAGGTCATTGCTGAAGGACAAAGAACCAAGGAAGTGTGAGAGCCAAATGTAGACCCCAGAGCCTGCAGTTTCTCCACCTGCCTGTGCTGCCTCTCTCAATGCAATCTTTGTTATCAACTCCCAGCCCTCGGAACCAGCCTCTCCAACCTTGAAACTCTGCTTCCCAGCAGCCCTGCAGCTTGGGGTCACTGCCACCTTGCAGAGGAGACCTGTGGACAGGAGGCTTTGCCTGCTCCATTCATTGAGCACCTACTCCATAATCCCAGCTGCCAGGATGGGAATGAGCAGGGCAAGAGGGCTCCTGCTTCATCCAGCTTGTGTTTTAGTGCCAGAATACACAGGATAAAATCAATAAGCGAGATAATTCCCAGCAGTGGGGAGGGGGTGAAGAAAATAAAACTTCGTGACACAGTGACATTCGGGGAAGGCCTCTGGGCTATTGGAATGGCCCAGAAGAGGCAGCAGGTAAAAAGTACCAGGACAATCTCTCAGGTGGGGTCACACAGGCTTGGAGGAGTTGGGAGGATTGAGGGGAGCAGATGAAAGTGGGGTGATGTCATCAGGAGCAGTGGCATGGGCTGGGAGTGTACTCCTGTGACTATTCAGTCCTTAGTGATTATGTCCAGCCAGAGAGGATGGCTAAGCAAGGGGCCAAGCCTGATCAGGGCAGGGGGCTGAGCGGGGAATTGGGCTCTGGCTGGGAGCTCAATGGAGCCCTTCATTCTGCTGAGGGGTTGTGGGTCCCCTATACTCAGGCAGCTGGTGAGCCCAGTCTCATGCATGGGGATGACAGTATTGAAAATTACCCTGTGCCAGCTGCAGCCAGCAGCAAAAAGGAGTCCAGATCTCATCAGGAAAGCCGTGGTTACCACCCGTTGTCCGACACCCCTGAGCCTGCTGATGGGATTAGAACCCCCTCCGAGGATTTCCCAGGAACAAACTGCCCACAGAGAACTATGGGTAGATGCCATAAAAGTGATAAAATTTCCCTCCCCCTGGAGAGGAGGAAGTTGCTGTGTGGAGTTGGTCAGAATGAAATTGTGTAATGCTGGTCCTGGATGGCACTTTAATGATAGCTGGTGAAATTTAGGGATGGGGGAAAAATACCAAGAAAATCTTTGTCTGACTGGGAAGAAACAGAGCAAGCTGACCTTTTGGCTTGAGAGAAGGGTCAGCAGCAGCATGGCTTGGACCGCTGAGGTCAGACCAAGCTGGGGCTGCTTCCAAAGTTTCACTTACTTCCTGTCCCTGTGTTCTTGGGCAAATAACTTAACATCTCTAGTGTCCCAGTTTCCTTATTTGTATAAACATTGATGTAACAGTGATGCCCACCTCATGGGTTTTCTTTACATTGACTGAACAATATATATAAAGTACTCACACACCCTGAATCATTGTGCCTTGATAAATGATTGCTGCCGCTCCCACTTGAGGTGCCATGTGGAAGGTGTTGGTGGTTGTGATGGGGAGCTTGTGACAGTAGCAGGGACAGGGACATCTTCTCCATGAGCTTGGTCTTCCAGAATGTCCTGCCAAGGTGATTTCTTTTTGATTCCCAGATAAGTGCTATTTATCTTATAACTCACCTGTATTTCCTGGGGGGCAGTTTTGAAAAGGAGACCAGACTGCATCAGTGAAGATTTCTGGACACACTGAGAGTTTAAAGCCAGCCTTTGTTTCATTTCACGAACTGAGGGGGGTGAGCCCTGGTCTGCATGTGGGACTCCTGGAGAAAAGTGTTCAACATAATGCAATGGTTCTAGGCTCTGTTCCTGTCCAGTCCTGGCCCAGCTCCAGGTTTGTAAGCCCGCGGTTCCTCTAATGTCACCAGCAATACATTATGAGAGCTGATCCTCCCTGCTAAGTGTGCCCTGATATGTCCCTTTGGTAGGCCCTTTGGGTTCACCATGCGTTCCAATACTTTGTGGTACCCAGGACTGAACCCAGGGTTTTGGCACTGAGCGATGTCCTCAGCCTTTTTTTATTTTTTTATTTTGAGACAGGGTCTTGCTAATTTGCAAAGTTGCCCAGGTTGGATTTGAACTTGCATTCCTCCTGTCTCAGCCTCCCTGCATGCTGGGATCACGGGCGGGTACCACCGTGCTCAGCTGAACCCATTTCTTTCCACTATGCAGAATGCATTTCCTATCTTCATTTCACACTACATAAACAGCGCCCTTTCAAAAAGAATCTGAAGAGTAAGAGAGAAGAATTGAGTGTCCTTTCTGAGAAGGAATTTAGCGGTGAGAACCAGATTCTGCCCAATAACTGAGGTTAGGAAGAAGCAGTTAGGGGGACACCTGCGGTTGACTTAGGCCCTGAGATCTGTAGGGGAAACCAGGGAGGAAAACAGTAACAACTCAGCAGCACAAGCAGTATTTGCTCATGAGCTCTTCTTGTCATGGGCATGGTGAGTAATTCTGCCCCAGGATCCTATCGAGTTTGCTTTGTGCCCCGAGGTGTAGAGTTTGGAAAAATACCAGTGCTGGCGGTTCTTCTGCATTGAGGAGGAAGGAAAGATGACTCCCGTGGGATTGCTGGTTCTTGGAAAATCATTACTCACCTGATCCCGGGTGGGAATGGAGGCAGAGTGATTGGGACTGCCTTAAGGGAACCTGCCACAGGGCCTCTCACACCGAGAGGCCGTCTGGAGACTTTGGAGTTCCAGGAGTCATCACTCATTGATTTTCTTTTTATTGCGCACCTACTATGTGCCTGGCACTGGAGCACACAATGGCTGTGACTCCTTCATCGTGGACTTTACAGAGACAAAGCAAGAAAATGAGTGAATGAAGAAGTCCAGTCCAGCAGGTGACAGTTCCATGGAGAAAGCAGTGATGTGCTAGGTAGTGCCGTGCGAATTTAGATGAGGGGCAGTGTTAGGCTGGGAAATCCACCGTGTAAACCAGAGAGCTGGCCCAGTCTGTGAGGACAGCCTTGGGTCTCCCCTTGCAGCTTTATGCCGAGCCTGGCTGCTGTCACCCTCGGGAGGGTCCCTCGGGCCCATAGTCCCCTCCTGGGGTTGAAAGTTTAGCGTTGCTTTGGGGCACAGAAGTTGCTGGCTAGAGGACTCACCTTCGCCCTTCCTTGGGTCCACATCAAGCCCCGGACATGGAGCCTTGAATCACTGGCTCCCTGACTTCTCTTAGGCGAGTCCCCCGCCTTGTCTGTCCCCCTGCTGAGTCCTGGTACAGCCACCAGCATCTCTGTGCAGGCTGCAAACTGTCTCCCTGGGTTCCTCCAACCCCCATGGGACTCTCCACCTGGCATCCATTCTTCACAGTGGGCTCAGCACCGTCTTTTAAAGCATCTTTCATGTCAGGCATGCCCAGGCACACCTCCCGGGTACTCTTCCCTGCCTCTCCATAAATACTTAGGGTAATGACTGAAGTCCCTGTGGTGACGTGGAAAGCCCACTCGGTGCAGGCCCCAGTCTCTTCTTCAGCCTTGTCTCTAGACATTTGCGGCTGAGTTTCCAAGTCTGAGCAACAGGGCCTTTCCTCCAGTTCCTGCCACACTCTCTCCTGCCTCTGCCTCAGAGTCTTTGCACAAGCCTGCAGGGCTCCTAATCTGTCCTCCTTCACATGTATCCGCCTGAGTAACTTAGCTGTTCCTTTAGAGGGAGTCTTCCTTATGCCTCAGCGACATCACAGACACAGCATAGGACACCTTGGTTACATGTTCTGAACAGCGCTCTGTAGTTTCTTTCACACATCTAGCACACTTGTGTTTGCGTGGGAGGTCTCCTTCCTGAGCTTCTCCACAGTGAAGAGAGGCACGCTCACAGAGACCTTGGCTCTTAAATATCCCACCTGGCTGTGCTACTTGCTTTAAAAACACGGCACAACACGAGGCTGTCTGTATTTTCTGTTCCAAGCTCTGCCTTACAGAGATGGTGATTGATACCCAAGTTCAAGCAGAAGCCCAGCAAGTGGGAGCTTGGTGGATGAACGGCTTGCTCAGGAAGTCTGTTCTTGCCTCCAGCTATCAGAGCCGTGCTATTTTCTTTGGCGCAGAGGGCTTGAAGACTGTGTATACTCAGGGAAACGGTGTAGACCCTTGGTGTGGAGTCGGGGCCAGGGGTCATGTTCAAAAAATAATCAAGTGAAAGAGGGTTGTGTGAAGCCTGGTGGGGGGACACCGCTGCTCTCTGCTGCTAAGGAATCAGAACTTCTCCCTTGTGTCAATGTGGAAGTGAATGAATCAAGCTCCGTTTTATGCCATGCCTGGAAAAATACCGGGGCTGGACTTGCATCGTGTCGGAAAGCAAAGCCCAGATGCCAGTCAGTCTCCACTCTCGGAGAGCCTGTGCAGGAGGAGAGAGTCAGCACTCCCGGGCCGTGGGGACTTCACTGCAGTGCAGGGAGACTGGAGCTGTGGATTTCCCCCATGCCTTTTTTGAGGTTACAGACCCATTTGAAAATGTGGCAAAAGGAACCCTTCTGGCCCTCCACTGTATTACCTCTGCATAATGTGTGCTTTCATGAAACCCCATCAGTGGGGTCCCTTCAGGGCCACAGGCAGTGTTAAAAGTCCCAGTGATTGGGGCAGAAAGAAGTTAATAAGGAGGAGCGAGGATGTACTGCTACGTGATGTGAGGACTAAAGAAGAGAATCAAAGCAATGCTCTCTGACTAGATTTCCCCCACACCTTCCATTCTGAGCACGCGTGTATGGCATGGGGTGGACGTGTGTCACAGTGGGGCAATGCAGATCCCCGGGGTGTGGGGGGAGCCTTGGGGGCAGAGTCGGCTCTCAGACCACTCTAAGCAGCTCTCCAGTCTTAGCCCTCCTCGGTGACCCAGCCACAGGAAGGCAGGCAGCATGGGATTGCGGTTTCAGGCTGTCTTACTTGCTCATGGCGCACTGCGGACCTGGCATGGTGCTTGGCACTTGATAGGTGCCCAGCCAGTGTTCGTTGACTGCCTGAGTCAGTCACTCCTGGGTTGCCAACGTTCACTCTGTCTTCTCTTTCATTTTGTCCTGCATTCATCAGATCTCGGAGTTGTGATTTGCTGGCTCTAGAAATCTATGTAGAGCATTTCCTAGGCTTCTAGTGGATCATAATTGGTCTCTAGGCACAGAATATGCTGGCTGAAAAATCTTGCTCGGGGTCCACTATGCTTGGATTAAAAATCTCAGTTCGTATGTTACAAAACACTAAGAAAAAATTAAAAATTGTAAAATCTTTTGCTGCTTGGATGTAACGAATATCCCAGTTTTCTCAACTGAGGATGGGAAGCTGGGTATGAGAATTAAACAAAGTCTTACCGTCAAAGCACTTGGTGTAATTATTGACCCCGAGATGCATGTCGTTTCGGTAAGTGTCAGCTGTAGTCAGGTGTGGTGGTGCAGGCCTATAATCCCAGCACGCTGGGAGGCTGAGGCAGAAAGATCCCAAACTGCAGCCTAGCTGGGGTGACTTGATGACACCCTATCTGGAAATAAAGGAAATAGCTCACTGTGGGGGCCGGGGCTCAAGTGCTAGTACCAAAAAAAATAGAAAGACAATTTAAAAATACTCAAACTTTTGTTTTATTGTTTGGCTCCTCTATGGGTCACTGGTCCTCTTGGGGTCACCTTTCATTTCTAAAACCACAGTTCTGAACCCCAGAAATTAATCATTGCTAAGTATACAGTGGGTACTCGTCTTGTCTGCTTCAGACGGTCTTAGAATGTTCAACCGTGGTTATAAAGCTCCGGAGCACACACTTCCTCCCCTTCATTTATTATCATATTTTAGTATCAGTTAATAAGCATGCATTATTTTATAATTTAATGAGTACTATGTAAGAACAATATTGTCATAAAAGTTTGTTTAACCAAATTTACTAAATCCAGTGGTGGGAAATAAGAATCTTTATTGTATCTGGTCTGTAGAAATGATTCCAGGAAAATTTGTCCTCTCTGTCCCCAAATCAAAGGGCCCAGCCCAAACCCCAAAAAAGGAAGGGCCTGTTCCTAAGTACACAGAGATGTGCTGCACAGGTCTGTGGGTCCAGGTTAGGAAGCCTGGGCTCAGGGCCTTCTGTCCCTACCTGACCACTGACCAACTCATTCATAACTTGGGGAAAATTGCTTACCTTTTTAAGCCTCAGTTTTCTCATCAGAAAAATGGGAGAAACAAGATGGAAAATTTTTTCCTTAGAAATCGTTGTGGAAATCAATATTAAATTTTTCGCCTTCAAGACGACACCTTTCATACGCTGTTTTCCCTTTTCTTTGCTCAAATAGCATCTGCAGCGTCGTCATCCTTTCCATTTGGCATCTAATCATCATCACAAGTGGATCCAGGCCAAAACAGGTTTTCTGGCTTCCTGAACCCATATCACAAACCGCAGCCCCCTTGGTTTTCTGCATCTTAGTAGATGGCCCAACATCGCCCCAGGGGTGAGGGGGAAATCTGGGGGGGATGGGCGTTCACTGCTCTTTTCCCCACACCTCTGTTCACTTGATGGCTCTGTCCACACGTCTCAAAACCCATCCCGCCTCACCAAGCCCGCTCCTTCTCCAGACAGTGATCTCCCCCTCTGGTGCTGGCGCCCCAGCTCCAAACACCTTCTGCCCTCTCACGGAGCCTGGCAGTGCCTTATTCATGGTGTAGCCAGCGTCAGCATGGACAGGTGTATGTCAGGATATCCTCCAGCTTGCTGGGACCCAGATGCTCACTGTCTTTATGTCTCTATGGACGAGGAGAAGGAAACTTTCCCTGCAGCAGGCCAGACAGGAAGTATCTCAGGTTTTGTGGGCTAATAATGGTGGAATCTATCGCAAAGTCATCCTCTTCTCCTGCTTCTCCATCTCCATCTCTGGCTCTTTCTCCTTCAAACCTTTTAAAAGCAGGAAAACAGTTCTTAGCTCATGAGACGAGATACCCAGGGCTCAGGCTGGATGTGGCCTGCACCTGGTTACGGACTCCTACTCTGTCTCCAGCTGTCTCCTCTCTGTCACCTTGCTTGCTCTCTGGCCTCAGTGGCTTGCTTGTGGCCTTTAGACTTCCAATAATATCCTGCTCAGGACCCCTGGCCTCCTGCCTGCTCTGTCCCGTGGATCTTTGGTGTGGCTTGCTTACTGCTTTGGTTCACTGCTCTGTTTCCAGGAGGCCTCCTGGGGCTCACCTCCCCCTCACCCCTCCTCTTCCCAGGGGTACTGGCACTCAGTGGCTGGCTGCACTTGTCATAAGACCTCCTAAGCTTTCTCTGCCCTCTCCTTACATCCCCAGCCCTGTGGGGTCTACAAATGCAAAGAGGAACAGGGTGAAGGTGCCAGGTTCCAAGAAGCACCTGACTCCCCATGGGATCCGAAGATGAATCTTTGCGTGCACAGGGTGGGGGAGTGAGCCGGGCTTTGAAGTAAAGGAACTGTCCATCTCACAGGAAGCTGATGTCATTGGAACATCTTAGATGACAAATGCTGAGAGGAGCCAGAGCTGATGTCTCAGGAGGAGGCAGTAAAGCAGCTCCTGGAGCCAGGGAAGCCCTAAGATAAACACCCCTCCCCAGCACATGCAGCCAAGCCAGCCTACAAGCCCATTAGTACAGACATTTCTGGGTTGTTGCTTATCTGGCCTCCATGGGTCATGGTGGAAAAAGCGGGTAGTTGGAAGCCACTTCAAGGAGCATGGTGCCTCCTGGCCATAAGCACAAAATTCTGAGAATCTCCTAGGGCCTGCCAATTGGCAGATTCCAGATGTACCCTTTTCCCACCCCAGCCTTGGGAGAAATGTGTTTGGATTAGGGTCACTGCAGAAAGAGAGCCTGAATCCCTTCCTTCCTGTGGCCACCATAGGAGGTGTCTTGGGAGTGGGCTACAGGGAGTGATCCCAGGGAAGAGCCCACGAGGACCTGACACTTCCACCCTCACGTTCTGGCTCAGAGCCGAACAACAAGCTTGGCTGAACCTGATGTCCTGGGATATGATGCACGGAGCTGTGAGCCAGTACAAACAGCCTTGTGCACCAGGCAGGGACTGGACCAGTCTTGGCTCAGGAGTCAGATTAGGGAGTGAAAAGATATAGCAACCTCTTCCTTGGATACAAACTGGAGGGCGGAAAGAGTACTGGAAAGGAGAACTGTATACTGTCCAGATTTGGGGTTTCCAGGTCCAGATCATGAGTCTAGCTCTAGATGTTAGTAAATTCGACACCATGGAATAGGAAGTGAAATGTAAAAATACTCAGCAAACTTCAGCTCAGCTGTGCTTCAGATGGGAGGTCAGACACTGTGACATACTCTGAGTCTGTGCTGTGACCGGACCAGTTACTTGACCTTCCTGGGCTTTGATGTTTTTACCTGTACCACCATAATGGTAAATCTTGATGTCCTTGTATCATGCATTATTAGGGTCAAATAAGAGAACAACGTAAGTCTTTGCAAAGTTAAAAAATGCTCTTGCGGGGCTGGGGATTTAGCTCAGCAGCATAAGCGCCTGCCTTGCAAGCAGGCAGTCGGTGAGTTCAATCCCCGGTACCGATAAAAAGGAAAAAGACAAAAAAAAAAAAAAAAAGAATGTAATCCTAAGAAAACATAGTAGCTACGGAAGATCATTTGTATTATAGTTTTATAAGTCTTATCCATTGCATGTTTTTCTAGGAAATTGTTTCGCTGTCTTGTTATGACTTGGTTTTCCCTATAATACAGAGAGGATAGGAACAAATACTCTGAGGAAGAGACCTGAAAAACCCGAGGCTTATTTTGTAGCATTATAATATAAATTCTAGCAATCTATTGCTTGATGATTAGAATGACATTGGACTGGTTTCTTCAGCTCAACTTCAGCATATGCAGAGATGGGGACGGCTATCTCAAAGAGAGTGAGAGATGTGATGGTAGTTGCTATTGTCTTCCCTAATTTGGAACTTGAGGACCTAAAAAGACTCCATCATCCTGTAATGATTTGATTAGTTCTATAATATGCAATAAGTATATAAAGTGGGTGAAGATAGGGACAACTATTTGTAAGAAGCTAGAGACAGTTAGATAAGGTAGATCTCCAGTGGACTTGCTTTGAAATCTGTATTTCTTTAAATTGTTTTTTATTTTTTATTTTTTTTTAAATGTTCTGTTCTGATATGGTTTTGATATGGTTAACCTTACCCTCTTAGAGATGTAAAACAAATAGGTGGGACTGATAATCATATTACGGAGCTTTTGTTCGACCATAGAGCAGAATGGTTTGTAGGGTCACTTTTTTGAATGTCATTCTAAATACTTTAATTCTATAACCTGAACAGCCATTTCGAAGATGACAATTTGTAACTTATCAACTGGCAATTTCTTACCTTTTGTTTGTCTGTAATTTAGTATTATTCTTACCCTTTTTTTTATCTCCATGTATTTTTTTCTTTTTTCGTTTCCTTTTCTTTAAATTAAAAAAAAAAAAAAAAAATGCTCTTGCGCCCATGTAGCTTGATCGCTAGCCTAGTGTAAAGCAGTGCCACCAATCGGAGTGATCACTGTTGTGCCTTGACACTGTCCCTGGGTTTCCTACGCATGCTTACAGATCCTCAGGGCAGTCTAGTGGGGGCATCATTATCATCCCCAGGCACAGGTGAAGCAGTAAGGCACAAAGAAGTTAAATAACTCAGCCTGGGTCTCACGGCTGGCAGGAAGGACCAGAACTTGGATTCCGCAGCAAATCTCAAAAGGATGCACTTGCACCTCCGGTGCTTGCAGCACAATTCTTTCAGGCTCCCTGCCCAGTGCTGGGCTTCCTTGCAAAGATAGCCAGAAGCCCGTCCAGTGCAAGCAAACTCATCCCTATCTCTTCCTTGTAGAACAGCTCAGTTGCTGCCAACTGCAGAGTCTGGTGTTTACCAACTCCCAGAGCTAAGGCTTCCAATGGGAACTGTGATCTCCACTGATCCTGGGAAACAGGGAGCAATGCCAGGCAGCGGGGGCACCTCTGGGTTCTGGAGGGCAGGCGCTCGTGGCTGGAACTTCCTGGTCACAGGCAGCAAACCTCCCCACCTCTGCTGTGTGCTGAGTAGGTCTCAAACCATTTCCTTGAGAAAGCAGAGGCTGGGGGTGGCCTCTGAAAAGCAGGCCATCCATTCCATGTTCTTGGGAGGAAGGGAAGAAATGTAGTCAGCGCTTCCTCTCTGCAGCCTCTCCTGAAGGAGGAGGTTCTTTACCCTCTTAAAACAGGGGGCCGTTGCACTGCTGGGATTAGGTGCAGCTTGGTGAGTTCCATCAGCAGAGAGAAGTGGGTGAGGGCTTGTGTGACCCTCTCTCTGAGAAGCCTGTAGGAGTCTTCTGAAAGATGCACTAGGGTGGCAACAATGAGGAGAGCTAGGAGAGAAATCACTAGAACCATGGTCTTTGTCCTAGATAAGAGAACAGCCAGAGAGCACTGTCCTTGGGTGTCAAGGGCTGTCCTCATGCAGCCTAGTTCCAAATGGCCTCCCTGGGGTGGGGGGAGAAGGATTGGGAGAGAAGCATCTAAAAATATGCAGAAATTTCACAGACAGAAATGCATCCTGAGGGGCAAAGAACCACTCTGGGGACCTAGGACATTCACCTCATCACTGCAGGAGGATCTGCTAAGTTGGGGTCATGTACACTGGCAGGAAGGGTACTCCACTCCTATCCTGTGGCCCCTGGATCAGCATTTGTGATGGTATCAGTGCAGGCCGGAGGCCCCTGCTGCAGTCTCCAAAGGAAGTGGGAAAATCTAGGGGCAACTTTAGTTGGCCTCTGAGAGCTGCTCAGAAGTGGGGAACCCTATGGGAAAACACAGAACAGATTTCCCCTTGTGGGGGACACAGCCTGAAGTGGGCTCCCCAGTAGGATCTTGAGAAATTCTCCACCCAAAGGGTCACATCTGAGATACATTTGAGATGCATGGTGGTTCCCCCTCATCTGCAGTTTCAGTTTCCAGTGTGTTACCTGTGGTCTACTGGGGTCTGAAAATATTACATGGAGGGCTGGAGATATAGTTCAGTGGCATAAGTGCCTGCCTGGCAAGCACAAGGTCCTGAGTTCAATTCCTTGTACAAAAAAATTTTTTTACAAGGAAACTTCCATATTTTGAGAGACAGGCAAGGAATCTGTGTAAGAGTACATTCAAATAAAGTAACAGTTGTCTCAGTATATTATAATTGTTCTAATGTATTGTTAATTATTGTTGTGAAGCTATTACTGTGCCTAATTTACAAATTACCTTTTATCATGGGTGTCTAGTGGGAAAAATAGCACATATGATTCAGCATGAGCTGCAGTTTCTGGTTTCCCTGCTGGCAGTCTTGGGGTACATCCTCACGAATAAAGAAGGCTAATGCATTTCACTTCCCTTTACCCCACAGACAGTCAGGCAGCTCATGGACCTACTAAGCCTCCTAGACATTTTGCAGTTAAAGCACACACACGAGGCTGTTGGCTATACTGACCATCCTTTCTACCAACTGACTTTGGGAAAGAAGTTTCGGGAGCTTACAGTTTTCTGAGCACCTTCACACATGCTAAGTACCTCACCTGGTTTTCAAAACAACACTGAGAGATAAGTTTGCTCCTGCCTGTCTTACCAAGGGGGCTGAGATGCAGAGAGGATTGTAACTTGCCCCCTGCTCACGGGGGCATTTAAAACAATAGTTCAGCAGCATAGTAACTGCCTGCAAGCATGAGGCTGTGAGTTTGATTCCTGGTACCAAAAATAATTAAAATAAAATAAAATAAAACACTATACAGGACTGCTCATCCTAACAGAAAAATTGAATGCATTTGATGGAATTTTTCTAGTAGTAACACCCCACTGAAAACAACAAAACTAAACAAAAGTTACAAAACCTCACCAAACAGGCATGGCACCTATTATTTATCAATACCCTTTCAGCTCAGATTACACTTACAATATTTACTATTTATGGATAGCTCTTAGGCTGACATTTGAATAATGATGTTATCACACAGAGACAAAACTGCACAGGCTCAGTGGGTGGGTTCTGTAAGCAAATGGGGTTTAAATCCAAGCTGCATCTTTTAGCAGCTATGTGATTTTGGGCAAGTAACTTCACTTTTGTTGTGCTCATGTTCCCCTCTGTATAATAGTCTCACAACTGTATCATTGGGTTACGCTGATGGTTCAGTGAGATATTCCACGCAGGTGTATCAGAATGGTGTGGGACACAAAGGAGCTGTATGAAGGTTAACAGCCACCCTCACCTTTGTCATTGATGATGATACTGTGTCAAGTCCATTTGCCTTGAGAGCATGCCTGGATCACAGCCAAGATGTTGCAGGCCTGGCTGGGGCCTCTCTAAAGCAACTGTGCAGCTTTGGGAAGCTCACTTAACTGCTCTGTACCTGGTGTCCTAGGGGCTTGGGGGACAGGGATGGGATCAGCAGCCATCCAGCATCATTCATGGAGTGATTCCAAGCATACATAAATCCAGGTTTTAGTGAATTCTTAATGTCCACCTTTGGCCACAGCAGAGGCAGGAGAAACCTGTGGAAAGAGGTTGGGTCAGCTCTGGGGAGCCTCTCTGCTAGCTGGGCTCTAGGAGCTCAGAAATGCCCAGAGCTTCTGAGGCCAGTCCAGCAGTAGTAATGATGAGCAGTGAGATGTCATAAAGTGGCCTGGAAGCTGAGAGCAAGTCCCCAGCTGCGCTCAGATCTGTGCTTTGTGGAACAAGGGTAACTTCCTGCTGGGATTTACCCAGTTGCCCTTTGTTGAAAGTCAGATAGAAAGTGGGTGTAGGTATACTGTCTCAGCTGCTATGTCTTGGATATCAGGTTCTTCCCTTTACCCTCATGCAGGGCCAGCTGCAGCTCCCCATGGTGCTCAGAGAGGACCCTTTCTCCTGGGCTGGCGAAGGAGCTGGCTCTTGGAGTGGACAGCCATGAGTGTGTGTGTGTGTGTGTGTGTGTGTGTGTGTGTGTGTGTGTGTGGCCACTTCCTGGGAGGATTAGGATGCTCCCAAATGGAATTGGCCTACTGACTGCTTCGTACCAAGGCAAAGGTCTCCCACCCCTCCACAGTGGAACAGTCCCCTGACCCCCTTTGAGGGGGTTTGCTGAATTGCTCAATCGTATAACTGTTCCATGAAAAGCGGCTCCATTCGTTCCAGCAGAAAGTTCTCAGGCACTTCTCAGGAAGGATGGCCTGCAGCTCCTTGGGAAAGATGCTGCCTCTTCCATCGCTAACCTTAATCCCCAGGGACTAGAACTGGCCAAGAATGAAAGGGCTGAGCCTATGGGGAAAGTAAAATCCACAAAACCACACCAACCCTCTCCTCCCCCAAACCACAGCAGCAGAAAACAAAAGCAAACCAAACCCAACTATCCTGAGCAACCCAGCGAGACTAGGGCAACTCCTTCCAAAACTGCTTCTCTGAATTACCCAGATAGATATAAAACCAGAGCACAGGACGACAGTTGGAACCAGAAAACTTTTAATGTGTCAATCGTGGCTTTCCAGGTTTCCTGCCCACAGTTCTGTGGCAGAGCTTTTTGTTTTGTTGTTTCCTCTGAACACTTTTCTTTGTCCTTGCATGAACCTCTGGCCCACTTGAGTGGTCTGGGTAAGCCTAAAATGAGTCCCTAAATCACTTTCCAAAGGGTCTGCAGGTCACCAGGCCCTGGGTCATTCAGAATGGGGGCGCAGCACCCAGGAATGGGGGAGGCAGTTCTGGCCGCAGGGAAGCCCTTCATGGCGGGTCAGAGGTCATGCAAGATTGCACAATTTCAACCTTTATCTGTCTCATGGAGGTGATGGGGGAGGGGCTGGAGGAGGAGCCCCAGGCTGGAGATGTTGAATTAAACAAATAAATACCAGGGGTACCTGGCAACTCTCAGACTCACAGAAAGAATATGCCTGCTCTTTGGAGATGGGGCTGCCTTGAAAAAGCCAACAGCCACCTTTCCTGGAGCTTTCAAGTTAGTCTGCAAAGACTCATCCATTCATCCTGAAACTTTTCCCTGCAGTGCTATGTTCAGTGGTGTCTTGAGAGCGATACAGGGAAACTCGACCTAAAACCTTTTCTTGTGATACTTAGAGGGAAATGTTGGGGTCTTTTTGATCCCTTGCTGAGGACCTGTTGAAGATGCCATCATGCCCAGGAGTTCCAGCCTCCCAGTTCATTTGGGTTCCTTTCAATTATATTTTGCATAGACTCTGCATAGGGGACCCAGAAATTAGGGAATAGGCTCAGGTGATCTAAACCCCCTAAGTGCTGCTCTTCTGGATTTGTTGATTCTGCTTAGTGATGAGCTAAATAGTGTTCTGAGCAGAATGAGCAAGCTAGGGTGCTTGCTTCTAAGCACTTTATAATCAAGTGGCGATTGCAGTGGCATCTGTGCTCATCACCCCAAACTGAAATATGCCCACCCCATTTACAAGGCAGCTGGACCATGACAAAGGCCATAGGAGAAAGAAAGCTGGTACTGAGAACCCAAAGGGGGAGGAAAGGGTCACAAACAAAGGTCAACAGGATGGCATTTGATGGGGAATAGAAGGAAAAGCATTCATCCCGAGGGACAGCAGAGCAAAGGGGTAGTGAGGTGAGCCACACAGCCTAGGCCAAAAGATTAGGTGGCTCACTGAGGTCCTGGGAGGGGCAGTGGGGAACATGACCCCACCCAGAAACTCTTTTCCACTACCTGACCCCCACCACTTACGCTTGAATTTTACAAGGAGCCAGGAAGCAACAAATTACAGTCGAGCAATACAATGAAGGCAGGGGTATGTGCACTGGGGAGAGGCCTTTCTATAACTCATCTCAGGAGAAAAGAAGGGTGAGGAGAGGGAGAGGAAGCCTTTGCTAGCCCAGCCCAGACCTTTGCAGGGCTGTAGGCACTCATTTGTGGGCTTGTCATTGTGACACTGTGTCTGCCCTCCTTAAAGCCATACATCTTACTTTCAAGCCCTCCAGTGGCCTTCGACCCCTTGGGAACCCCAGTGTTCTCAGGATGACCTTTGGCAGGGAGCTGCCTCCCCTCCAAGGCTGGTGGAAGGGACATGGCACCTCCTGTGCTCTGGCCTTCCTTGTTCCCAGATTGCCAGCAAGAGTTTTTTCTTCTCCAGGAAGGAGTAGTGCATCTGACTCTTAAATCCTGAAAAGCCAATCAGCTGGAACTTCCAGAAGCCTTTTATTATAATTTCATATGTCTTCCTTTACCTCCAAGATCTGAAGGTCCTCTCAGAGTGACAAGGAGGTTTTAAGTCTTTAGGCTTAAAGACTGTGCATGGTCTTCCTTATTATGTCAGGAATGGCACTTCTCAGACTTCATCTCCTGCCTGTAGCATGAAAATAACACGTCCACTGTTGGGCTTGGGCCTCAGGCAGGCAGGCCTGAGGTGCAGTCCTTTATAGTGGCTTCTAACCTGGATGAACTGGGCCAATCCCTCTGCTTGTCTGAGCCTTGATCTGCAACATGATCCATTTTAGCATTGCCGTGAGCGGGTACCACTCCTAACCAGCAGCCATAACCTGGTGAGGAATTTCACTGGTAGATTATGTAAAACTTTTAGGCACTATTTTACTGTTGAGGCCCAGTTATCTGGAGGAAAACCAGAGAGCCCCTATGTCGAGGTATATAGCCATATTCTCTCTGGCACGCAGCTTCTGACCCTTCCTTTGTTGTTCCAGATCATATAAAAGCTGGCATCGCCCCAGCAGCCTCCTGCGTGGAAAGAGGCATCTAAGCCCACAGGTGCACTGGGAACAGCCCAGAAAGAGGCCATTGCATCTTAAGTTCCCCGGCCGCCCCTACTGTGTCTGCTCTTCTCCATATTAGTCACTGCTTTGGCTGAATGTGTGGAAGACCCCTATTAAACCCAAGTAGTGTCTGGGAAACACATTAAGGCCTTAACAGCTGGATACAAATTAGTTTATCAGACAGGGCCTGGGCATGCAGAAGTTAGGAGTGAGGAGGAGCCTCACTGTAAAGAAAGTGGGTCCACGCACAGACAGCCCCTGACCAGCGAGGCAGCCATAGGACCATTGGGGATGCCAGGCCCACTCTGTGGTCAGCCCCAGCAAGGGCTCCACAATACTGGAACCCTGCACCTCCCTCCCCTTAGAATAACAAGAGAGACTACTCTCAAGGGGTGAGCCAAGCTGTGTGTATGCATGGAGTGAGGGGGTGTCTCTGCCCGTGAGGGTCAGCACTGAAGTCTCAGGTGCTGGCTTGGAACAGAAGACTGGGAGCTGAAAAAGAGGCCAGCGGCTGGGAGGACCCACACTTCTGGGCAGAGCTACAGATGATCAACACAGGTTGATGTCCTTCCTGTAATTCACATCAAAGGCCCTGGTGGCAGATGACAGGAGCAGGAGGAAAAAGAAAGGCTTTGGGAAAGACAGTACTGGGAATCGAACTCAGGACCACACGCTTGTAAGGCTGGCGCTTATGCCGCTGAGCTAAATCCCCAGCTAGTTTGGTAGATATTCAATAACTCTCCAAGGTATAAGGTTTTAAGGGACAACTTCTGCCTCTGCAGATCCACGGGGTCCTGACACCTGCTTGGAAGAGGTATTTGCTGGGCTGGCCCTGCACTGCTGAACTACATCCTCAGCCCTAGTTGGCAGGTTTTAAGACCACTTTTTAAAAGATTAGGATCAACTCATTCCCTCTCTCATTTTGAACACCTTGAACTACTGAAAGGGATGTGTAGCAAGTTAATGCCGAGTTCCGATCCTGATGGCGCTGGTGGGGAGAGTCTGGGTTCGCATCCTAAGTGTCTCTGTTCTCTGTTGCAAAGTTTTGCTGTGGGAGCCTGAAAGAGCCTTTCAGGATACTAAAAGTCGTTAGGGGCCCTTGGGGCCAGATTAGAGGGTGCTGGGCCCTGGTCCCGGGAGGGGCAGGAAAGTGACTGATCCTCCAGGGTCTCCCAGGAAAGTCTGCAGCAGGTGGAGGTGGCTGGAGAGCAAACAAAGGCCGTTTCTGCCTGGCCCGTCCCCTCCTCCCGCTAGGGCCGCGGATGTCCTTTCTCTGGTAGCAGCCAGGTGTGTTTGAAAACACCCAACCGGTCCTTCACATAGGTCCTTCACGTAGCAGGAAATAAACTTTGCCAGGGAGGGACGCGTGGGTGTGCGCACAGGGGTGCGGTGTGGTGCCGGTGCACCCATTCTGCAGCCGCAATCCAACTGCGCCCGGGGCAGCTGCTGCGGGACAACCTGGGTGAGCGCGGTACAGGTAGAAAACCGGGATGACGCCGAGCACGCGTGGGGAGAGGCTCGGGCCGGCGGCGCGGGCGCGGGCGCGGGCCGGGCAGCCACTGCCTGCGCGCCCGGAGCCCCCTCTCCGGATCACACCCTCCCTCCTGCCCCTGGCTGTCCCGCCCACCCGCGCCCTCCTCCTAAGAGTTAAGTACCTCCTCGCTCCGATCTTCTCTCCGGCTTTCCTCCACCCGCGCTGGCGGCCAGCGGCCCCGTGGAGGCACTGGGGCCCACGCGGGCAGCGGGGCCAGCGGAAGCACGGGGAGCTGAGCTCCCGGCCCCTGCGCCCCCAGAACCCTAGTGCACCGGCTCCCCTGCGCCCCGAGTGCGGCCTCGGGAGCAGCGCAGCGCGTAGCTGAGTGATTGGCGCTGGGGAGGCCGGGCCGCGCCAAGACTCGGGCTAGGGATGCCCCAGGGACAAGCGCGGGACCCGGGCCACAGCAGGACCTGGCGCGCGCGCAGGCAGGTGCCTAGCAGCCGCCGCCTCCTCCTTTCCTGCTCTTCCGCTCGCCCAGAAGTAAGATGAGCGTGATGCTGTGGCGCTGGGAACAGAATAACACCACCATGAAACTGGTAAGGGGGCAGCGCGGACTCCACGCCGGGCGCTGCTCCACTCCCCCCCCCACCCCCGTCCCCCAGGGCCTCTGGAGGAATTGCGTCCTTTGGTGGAAAGCCCCGGCTACTCGGTATTTCCCTTGTTGTGAAGATCTCAGGGTGTGTGTGTGTGTGTGTGTGTGTGTGTGCTCGAAAGGGTGGGGCTGGGTCGCCCCACCTCTGCCGTCCGTCCCTTCGTCGTAGGAATTCCTGTGGCTCCCAGGCTGCATGGTGGCCTCCTGGCTGAGCAGAGTCAGCGTGGTCTCAGCTGCCTGCCCAGCACACAGCCCGGCCCACATTGTATCCGGACACCTTGGCCATGCCCCTCTATCGCCATGGGGGCAGAGGATGAAAGGGCACTCACCCGGGGCTCCTCTCCCGCCTCTGCGTGGGTCTTCCTTCCCTGTCCAGCATGTAAAGAACCACTTAAGCTTTCAGGTCCCCTTTCCTCCTGTTTTTAGAAATCCACTGTTCCTCCCTCTCCTGCTGCTGCCTCCAGAAGCCTGAGTTCTTTCCCCATCACAAGCCGGAGACAGGATCAAGGCTCTTCTCTGGGTTTTGCTTTTGTGGTTTGTTTTTGTTTGTTTGTTTCCCAGTCAAATAATTTGGCTCCCCTACTCCAGTCAGCCAGGGAAATCAGTTGAAACCACTTTGGATCTTTCTTGATAGGCAAAGGTGGCAGGCACTCACCTTGTAGAGCCGGTGCCAGGATAAGAAATCACATTTGTGGACTAGACATGTACTAAGGACTAAAGAAAGAGTAGGTTTCGAGGGTTTTTTTTTTTTTTTTTTTTTTTTTGGTGGTATTGAGAGTTGACCCCTGGGTATCATACCTGCTGTACAAACACTCTAGTGCTGAGCTACAGCCCTTTTTAAAATTTTAAGACAGGGTCTCCCTGTGTTGTCCAGTGTAGCCTCTGCCTCTGGAGTAGTTGGGATTACAATGTGCATGGCCCTGCCCAGCAGGAGTATGTATTAATAAACTGGAATCCACACTGATTGGGGTAAGCTTTTGAAAGATGCTATCAAAAAAAAAAAAAAATCACAGCAGTTGTGTTGGCTACCAACACACTAAATCAACATAAGTCCCATTTGTTCATGTAACGAACTTAGGTGTTGGAAAAAGTGGCACCTTGTTTTTCACATTCCTTGTGTTACGTTTGGCCAATCTGACTTTAAGCTACTATTTTACAGCACCATTTAATGTGCTGTAACGTTAGCAGACGTTATGCACCTTCACTCATTGGACTGTGTCGTGATTCCAGCTCTCTAATCCTTTCCTGGAATCCTTCTCCTCCCAGGCTGCTCTGGAGAGCTCAGAGTTTCATTCATTTCTCTCCAAGCTGTACCTAAAATGCCTCTGTAATAGGTACCGCAGCAAAGTTGGGTCCTGGCCTCACCAGACAGGTTGCTAGACCTAAAGACTTTTAAGAAAAAATGAAACAGAGTAGTGATTTGCCAGGCAGGGACCCATGGAGCATCCCCTGGGATGGCTGTTGGATCATGGGGCAGATGGCACCATTAGGTCTGAGATGTCCTCTACACTTCAGTACTGCAGCCATTTGTGTAAGGAGGGGTGATTTCTTCTTTGTTGTTCAGAGGTCAGCCTTTATTGTGTCTGTCTGTGCCTTTAGACCTGTCCCACTTTTCAAACTAACTGTGAGAAGCACCTAAGGTAGTTGTGGTCCAGTAAAGCACCCTCAATCTGTCAGGCAGGGGAGGGGCTGGAGGGGGTGTAATAACCTAGAAGTATATGGGAGACAACAGTTGCTGTTCTGTGTGCCCCACAGCCCCAGAACCCAGGCTGGACCAGGTGTGGCTAGGTCTTGACCTTCAGAGCCTAGGCTATGCGCAAGACAGGTCTCAGCTCATCTGCAGAATCCTAGGAGCCATGGATGCATCACGAGCTGATGCATCCTGAGTTTGCTTTTTGTTCATTGTTAGGGGCAGACTGATTTGTCAGTTGCTTGCTGTGTGTATGCCCCAAGCAGAACACAGTTTGGCTGGAGAACCAAGTTATGCTCATCGTAAAAGGCTTAGCTGGCGAGTGGTTATTGGTTTGAATTCCAGTCTTGCCACTTACGAGTCCCTAAATCTATTTTTCTCATTCGTAAAATAAGTTTACAGTACTTTTTCCCAAGTAGTGAAAGAAGAAATGAGATAATCTCATAACAGGACCAGCACGGAGTCTCGAACATGGGTGTCTCTTAAATCGGAACAACTATTACTGTGTTATTATTTTCTTCAAGTGTAAATGATCAGTGTTGGTCCCCACCCTGTGCTGTGCTGGTGGTTGAGTGATTTGTTCTCATGGACTGGGAGAAAACAACTTTTCTTACCTTTGGATCATTAGTGGACCTCGGCAGGAAGGAACACCCTGGGAACATCTTTTTTTTTTTTATCAGTACCAGGGATCGAACTCACGACTGCCTGCTTGCAAGGCAGGTGCTTATGCCGCTGAGCTAAATCCGCAGCCCCCCTTGGGAACATCTTAGAAATCAATTGTGTGTGGAGACAGCCCCAGAATGAGGCCCGGGGCTGGAGGTGGGTGCCGGAACTTTTATCACTGATGCAGTTCAATAAACATAAAGTCAGTTAACTCACAGCTTGAACATTCACTGTTCTGGTTGAACAGTGGAGCTAAAGGTTCTGCTTTGTGTTTTATTTTAAAGTTCATTGGATTTGAAAGAAAATAATAAATAAAGCCAAGAGTAATTAAAAGCAGAACTTGCATCTGGGTGTACTATCTCTGCAGGAGAATGTCAAAAATGCACCTGCCCACCCGGGATAGAAGGCCAGGAACTGTAGCTCCTATTTCAAATGCAACAGGGTCACAGGCCTTTGATGAAAGAGAGAGGAGGGGACCACTCAGGCCTGAAGCTCTTGCTGGGAGGAGACAACTCTGGATGCCCTACGTGGGTGGTTCCGATATCCTTATCACACCTCTGCTGCACCCCACCCCATTTTGTTAGATTCTTTGGGCTTAGACAGGGCAAGGAGAAACCAACGAGGAGACTCCTGGAGCAGTGTGTGCTCTCTGAGAAGTGAGAGAACCTAAGGTTGGTGAGACAGAAGCCCTAAGACAAGCCACCATCACTGTTTTCCTGGTGCCAGCGCCTGGTGTTCCAGCAGGGTGCCTGCAGTCGGCGCTCTGCTCAAGGGCTCCTGGCCCTGTATTGTGAGACCAGTTGCATAGCTTCTTCCAGCCTTGGTCTCCTCTGCTGTGCATGGGAATCCTAGCACCTTGTAGAAACCAGCACGTTGGAGCTCAGGGTCCAGCCATAAGCTGGTGGGAAGCTGGTGATTGCTGTTAGGATTACACATGGGCCGTGGAGAGGTCCTGTCTTGCTGCCCTGAGCAGACTCAATTGCAGTACAGTACTCCCAAAGCCTAACTGCACACAGGTCGGGTAGGGAAGATATGAGGGTTTGGGAAGGGGGTGTTTTATCTTATAGTACAAATTTTGGATAAAAATACTGCTAACATAACCATATTAGTAGCTAGCATGAGTTGCATCTTGAAATGTGTGATTCATTTCATCTTCTCTTCAGCTCCTACAGTCCCATTCTCCAGACAAGGCCTTTAAGGCTCGAAGAGTTCTGTGACTTCCCTCAGCTCCACACAGTTGAGTGTGCAAGCAGGGCGAGTGCTCCTCTCTAGGGACCACTCTGTGACCTGCGTGCTACCCACGCTGGTCCAGGAGATACTGGGATCAAAGAGAGGAAATCTGGGGTGGGATGGGTCGGCACCCTTCAGTGTCCAGAAAAAACACTTAGGGGACCCTTCCTCCAAAGGAAGGAGAAAGTAGCCCTAAATGAAGAATAATTGAGAATAATGAGGAAGAAGGAATGTGCCTCTGACCCTTGGCCTTCCCCTGAGAGGCAGGGACCCCCTGGCCTTCTACAGCCAGGCTAACAAGTAGGTCAAAAGAGGTCAGTGGGTTAAAGGGCCCTGCCTTTCTGCGGTCACATTGCTCACTCCCAGAGGCCAGGCTGCTGTTTAAAATACTAATGTTTAATGTTCCTACAGAACTGATGGCAAGCCTTTGAGAGCTTTCAATGATATAAAAAGCCCACTGTACCATGCAATTTTCCCGTTTCTCTTTTTCTGTCGCTGCCTCAGTTCTTCTCTCCCTTCCTGCCAGCTGTGATGACTTATAAATTCAAATACAAATGATACATATTTAACTCATTCAATGCAGTGGCTCTTGATATATAATGTACTGTGAAATGATTGCTCCCATGCTGGGCATGATAGTGCATACATGTAATCCAGCACTCTGGAAGGCTGAGGTAGGAGGATTACAAATTTGAGTGCAGTTTGGGCAATTTAGTAGTTTATTGAGACTTTGTCTGGAAAATAAAAAATAACAAAGGGGATGGTGATGTAGCTCAATGCAAAAGCCATGGATTCAATTTTTAGTATTGTCTCCCCCACCCCCCAAAAAGAAAGATTATCACTGTAATTAACATTTCCATCACCTCACTTCAGGTGCTATTCCTTTTTATATGCATACAGTCTCATCTCAATTTATGCTTTTCTTCTGAAAAGTTCATTGACACTCACCTGAAAATATCAGTAATTTCACTTTCTAGAGCTTTCTTATACTTTCCACTAACTGTATCTGGCATAGATTTTGCCACCTTTCAGATATTGAAAACATATCCATTTTCTATTAAGTCTCCACATCTCAAGGGCAAGAAATTCCATCCTTTCCTCAAGGAACCAAGTTGAAATACATGGGAACATTTCTGTCTGACTTTCTGCTGTAGGTCATGAGCCTGCAGAAAAAAATGTGCTTTTCAGAATTGAAACTACAGCGTGAAAGACAGGTTCTGACTTTGCTTAATGCCTGGGAGGATGATGGTTGGGACAGCTGAGGGAAAAAGAGCAGAACCCTGAAATTAGCAAGTGAGGCAATACATTTTCCTTCATTTTTATATTAATAGAAATGTAGACATCTACAGTTGGTCCCTCTGGTGACCCAGCAGTGCTTCCATTATTTATATAGTTGTTTTTAAGTGGAAATTGCAAAAAATAAGTCTTAAAAATTTTGTCCTGGCTTCTATTAGATATGCCACCCACTTGGAAGACATGGCTAAGGCTTTCTTTGACATCTTTAATGTCTCCAAGACATGTGAACGATAAGGTATGATCAAAATCTATGGTGAGTGTTTAAATTTTTAAAAATCTATCACAGTAAAAGACACAGTGCCATTAATCCCACTCAAGGTACATCCCTCCCTTTGAACATGCTTATCCCATCATTTTTGCCACATTCTGAAGCAGTTCGAGAAGTCCTCTCTCATGAGTGTCTTTAGTTGTGTTGTCATGGCTGCCTTGATATCCTGAATAAATTCCAAAGCTTTACCTTTCGTGGTCGTGTTGACTCAGGGGAAGAGCCAGAAGTCACACAGTACCAGATCCGGTGACCAAGGTGGATGAGGACACCCCGTGTTTTTGTGAGCCTGCCTTTCCACTGGCTGGCGCTAGGCAGTAGGATTCACTCTGTTATGTATCACAGCTCATAAAGACAGCCCTGAAAAAGGACTTCCAGACCTGCTTCAGAAAGTGGCAGGAACCATGGGATAAGTGTGTCCCAAGCAAGGCAGGGAGCACTTTGAGGGACATTAATGTCATGTGTCTAACTATACCAATTTTACAAATTTAAACATTCACTCTGTGTTGTGATCACACCTTGCTGACTGCTGTCATCCAGGCAGGAATCATCCTAAGGGCTCTTCCTGCTCCAGGGCTCTTCCCAAGTGTTGTTCTGATCCAGATGTCACTGTAGCTATGCTGGCCATGGAGTCATAGTCACGGAGGTTGAGAATCAGCAGAGATGTCCAACTTGCCACTGAGAATAGGTTATGAAACAAAAGCTCAGAACTAGTTGATGGATATTTTCTAAACAGCATAACAAGAAGGAGTGATCAGGATATTTGGGAAGGCTGAGAAGTAGGAGAGAATTTTCCTGCCACTAAAAATAATACTGATGACCTCTGGTCATAATAGCATAGGGTGTGACAAGGGTGAGCACCTGCGTTATCCATTGTCTGCATCACAGTGAAAGATGAGCTGTGTGTTTACCAGGTACCTGGTAGGACCCAAAGCAAAACCAAATCTATAAGGAAACAAGGTGCTTTACACAGAGATTTACCTGTTCAAGCATGTGGTTAAGAGAATCATTGTTTGCAGAGGTTTCCAGGACAGGATTTATTCCACAGTTCCAGCTCCTGCCCGTTCTCTGGCCTTGACACTAATGAGAAGCTTCAGGATTCAGGACTCAGGCTACGTGTCATATCCATGCAGAGACCGTTCATGGGATCCTGCTTGCTAGTCCATGAATTCCTGCCCCTCCTTATATTCTAGGCCCAGTGGGTGATGGCTGTGTTTTAGACCTTCTTCTACTCGGCCTCCGGGTAGGAGTGGTTCCTTCCTGTGTGTATGGTCAGCTGGTGGTTTCTGTTTTCACTGCTCCTTCCACCTGCCCATGTGCTGCCCCATCTTCCAAAGCTCAGAAGCTGCTTTACTCCTCGGAAGCCCCTCCTGGCTACTCTGTACCCCAGAAACCGTGACGGGCAGTGGTGCGGGCTGCCCTAAATCCTTGAGTGTTTGCTGTGTGTGCTGTACCTCTGCTTTGACACTTCCAGTAGTGACTGGACACACAGACACAGGGACAGATGACCTCTGTTTCTTCCCAACTCTGCTGCCAACCATCAGTGTCCCCTTAGGAGGACAGTCTCTGTTTCAGTCTCCCCACCTGTGATGGGAAGACAATTTTACTCAACTTGGGGTCGTGGGGGTCATTTGTTTTTAGAATAGCATTAAATACATAAATAAGTGTCAGCTATTGTTCTGGTGCTGCTCAACAAATGTTTTTGAAATACATGCTACAGATGGGGAGCTCTCCTCATAAATAAAAAATTCCCTCTGTTGAATTTATATTTTAGTGGAGGAAACACATGATAAGCAGGATACATATATTTTTATGGTGCTGAAAGCTATGGACAAAAATGTGGCAGAGTAGGATAGGGAGACGGGAAGAGGTCAGTCCCTAAAGGAGGGCAGGGAAAGAGGGCTTTATTGTCAAAGTGGTGTGGCTGTGTGATAATCATTATCACTCCTCAGGGAGGCATTATAAGGAGGTGACTATAATTTATTATCCACACCAGGATGCTTCTGAGAGTGAAAGGGGATGGTTTTACTAATTGCGGTGAGATATAATTGTAAATTGGTTCTGTCTTAAGCAAACCAAATGCATGCAGCACTATGCTTGGTCACTGCAAAGTCTGAGAGACAGGGTGGTGTCCCATCTAGATTCAAATCCTGAGTTCTTCCCTTTAAGCTGTGAGATCGTGGGCAAATCATTTAACCTCTTTGCACCTCAGTTTCCCTGTCTCTTATATATACCTAATCGGGTTTTTTTAATAAAGGAATTAAAGTGCTCTGTACAGAACCTGACACTTAATAAGCAACCAGTAAAAATTCATTACCACCACCACCATCGTCAGATCAAAATGAAGAGAGAGCTTTTTCCTCAACTCTCACAGTGCCCGGGAGGGGTTGAGGGTCTGCAAGGTGGGCATTAGCTCTGGAAATGTAGCTGAGCAGTGGATTTGGGAGATGAATAGTTGTCTCCTTCCATTGCTAAAGAGTGTAAGAATGACAAGTGTCTGGACTGGACGCAGAGGCCAGTTGGGGGGCGCTCCCCCCAGTTGTGGTCAGGCAGCCACAAGAGGAGTTGCTGAATAGAGTCCAGCACTCAGGATCTCACTCCTCGGACGTGAGTTCAGGAAGAGGCCCGTGACAAGAGGCCTCCAATCCTCCACTGCACCACAGAGCAAGGAGGGACCTAGAGAACCAAGCGACCCACCCACAGTCTCTGACCCATTTCAATGCACCTGCCTTTATTATCCTACAGGATAATAAGAATGAGCAAAGATAGCGCTTAGAATTCCACCTGGAAAAGCTGTGTTCTTTGGAAATGGGCCGCAGATGACGTAACCCTAATAGATCCCATTACTTGATACTTGGCTAATCTTTGTATGAAACTCGTCTTGGTGAAACGCGAGCCTGGAGAAGCCAATGAAAGTATATTACTTTCTCCTTATTGAATGCCTCCTAGACTTGGGATAACATTTAATCGAAAGCGTAAGGTGATACTTCCTGAGATAGCAGTGAGTTCATGTTTGGAAATTAAATGAAATGAGTTTGTTGCATCGGTTGGCTTTTTTTAAAGGCCTACCCGTGGTTGTAAATGTTCTCTCCACAAAGAAATATCTGGCTGCTGCATGGAAAGGAGTGGGGAGCTAGAGAGGTTGTAGTTTTCGGTCCTTTGAAGTTGTTTTGCTCCTCTCTTGTGAGGTACTATTCCAGGTTGAGCCATTTTTAAATTGAACCTTTTTTATTTTTCTATTAGGAGTCAAACCTGGGCTTTTGCATTGAACTGTATTTCCAACCCCCTTCGTGTTTTTTATTTAAAGACAGGGTTTTGTTGAGTCACAAAGTCGCTCAAGTCGGGTTTGATCTTACAATCCTCCTACCTCAGCCTCCCAATGTGTACTACCAGCCGGGTTATGAGGATGCACATTTGAATAGAAGTTGAATACCAAATAGGTTTGTCTTTGGTTGTGTTTCCTGAACACATACCGCATGCTCTCTGCCCTTTTCCTTCACAAGGTGTTAATGCTCAGTAAAGACTGCACACTTACCTTATACCAGTGGACCTCCTTGGACAGTAAGTTGGTTCCGGGTCTCCTGGCTCTGGCTACAGTTTGGTTCCTGCCAGCAGAGATCCACTGCAGAGTCCATGTTGGTTGAGTGTTTTGGTTCTGTAGCCCAGCTGCTTGGCATGTCCTGGATGGTGGCAGGTATTCCAGGATTATTTTAAATACTTGCTTCTAGGTGAATCCCCAGACAGATTAGGCCTAGGAAACATGAGAATGCAGAGATCCACCTGGTCTCCACCCTTTGCCTGCCTCTTCCACTCTCTGTCCCCTTTACCTCCTTTCTCTTACACCCATTCTCAGAAGAGAACACCTGTACCCTACCTCCCGTGTATGGCCGTGGCACTCCCAGGTGGAGAGGCGAAACAGAGAAAGAACACCAGAGGGGCCTGCTGGAAGTAAAAGAGACTGTGTAGCATGGGATGCCTGCCTTTAAACACAGTCAGGTGAACTGGGCTCCAGCAGAGTCTGAGTGGGGGTTTTGCTGAGACCCCTGCAGATTACAAAGCCTGTGATGTTCTCAGTCCCTATAAAAAAGATCATTTTTGCATAAAACCTATCCACATCTTCTTGTATGCTATAAATCTCTCTAGATTACAATTACTTGTACTACCAAACACAACTTAAATGCTGGGTAAATAGTTGTTCTACTATATTATTTAGAGAATTATAACAAGAAAACATCTGCACGTTTGTTACAAATGGGATTGTATTTGGAATATTTCTGTGCACTGTTGGTTGAATCCTTAGATATAAAGAACCAATCATGCTACCCTTTGCCTGCCCTGGCCTGGCCCTGTGTATGGAAAAGAGTGACTTAGGTTTGAGGAGAAGGCTGGAAAACTAACAGACCATCTTTCTCCTGGAAACCTAAATGGAAACAGAGGGAAGACGTGAGAAGTCCCATTCTTCCCCAGCGAGGTTTCCTGCTGCCAGGGTCTCCGCACATTAGCTGGGGCAGCTAGAGGGGCACAGAGTGAACATATTGCTGCAGATGACTCCACAAGACCTGAGAGGCAGCTGCTGAGTCCTGCCCAGGACACAGGCATCACCCAGAGGTCACAGATAAAGCATATCAGGGATGAGAGGGAGGTTCCCTGACTAAAGCATTGATTTTAGCAACAAAAAGAGCTCAGTCCAAATCACTGCAAGCTTGGAGAGATTGTTTATCTGTGCTTCGGTGTTTCTATTGGGAAGATTAGTATTATTCCTTAGGAAGCTGGAAGTCTTAAAGAGATACCTGAGGGACAGTAAATGACATACCTGGGAAGGTTCTGGAAAGTCCAGAAGCTGAATTCAGACTCAGCCAGAATGGGGTGTTTTCAGAGAAGCCCCCCCGCCAAGTCCTAGAACTTGGAGCAGGGCTGGGAAAAGAGGCAGAATTTGCTGTAGGAAAAAGGAATGATTGCAAGTGGGGTGAATAAAAAGTGTAAAAGATTCATGTTTTCTTGGTTTTAAGACATTTCTTTCATAATGCCACTAGCAGGAAAGTGGCTTCTGAGTCCTAGGTTCTCCTGGCTCAGTGGAAAAGGACTCTCTCCTCCTCTCCTTTGGACCCTAGGTGCCAGGCCTGCTTCTAACTCCATTCCAAGTAGAGTGGTTCGAAGGACAATTTAACGTGAATACTTCAGATTTAATGTGTCCCAGATGCACTACACATAAGCTCTCATCCTGTGCCCCATCCCCATTCTTCCCTTTCCTGCAAAATAAGGCTTCTTAGCGTTGGTGCTGAGTGACATTTGAGGTCAGGTACTCTTTTGCTGTGGGAAGCCATCCTGTGCACTGTAGGATGTGTAGCAGTACCCTGGCCTCTACTCACTGGGACTTGCTTAGTGATAACACCCTTGAAAAATGTTTCCAGAACTTTCTTGGTTGAGATTTCCTGTAGTAAATAATCTCACCTGTTAAGCTTGAGCCTTTGTCTTTGATTTCTCCTCAACCACATTCTTTTGTTCCAGGAGAAAATACTTTTGTTTGAAACTCCCCAGTAGACCTGAGCCCTGATATCTCTATCTGCAGAGGTCTCCCTGCTGGTCTCCATGGTTTCACTGATGTGGCTTCCTGCCTGTTGTCCATACAGCACCAGAGCTAGGCATCAGATAGGTGCTCAGTAAATATCTATTGACTAAATAAATGCATTCATCTCTTCATTTCTCCTGACATAGAGAGGTGTCATTTCTCTCGTGTAAAACCAGAAACAGCAGATCTCTGAATTTAACCTTCCAAGAAATTAAGTAATATGCCAGCTTTCTTCTTTGAGCTTCTCCAGACCATTAGCACCCTTCCTACTGAATACAAAATGCCCAAGAAATCATTACTGAGTAGACAAATGACTCATGCTTACAGGAAGTATTTGGGGCATGCTAACAGATTAAAATGAACAGCATTAAGCAAATAGTAGAAGCATAAGGATCCATTCTTTGATCTTTTCAAACCTTTGGCATAGAAGCTTTGGTCTCTTGCTTCCAACTCTGAGGTTAAGACACTGATGCTTCATTGTTATTTTAGCTTTTAGAAGTAACTGGGGCACACAGAGGGCACACAGTCTGGGCCCTTGGTTGCCATGTAGTAAAATGCTGACTTGAATCAAGACACCTATGAAAAACAGAAGAGAATCCAGTCACATTGGTACTCAGGTCTCATCTTGGGAATGCATCAGTCAACAGGTCTTGATTCGACACAGACAAATTTCATATCCTCTGAGGATTTACTATCCAGGAGGAAAGATAAAGACTTCGTTGGTTAGGGTAGCATATAATCATGCTAAACAGCACAGCACTGTTTTGAACATCTTTTTGAGTTGCTTTGAAAAAGTATGGAGGCCTTTTGCCCTTTCTGGACCAGACTGAGCTGTAGGAAGCATGGAGAAGTAATGAAGATTCTTTACATTCTCAGACTGCTTTCTGGGAATCCCGCGAAGTCCCCACTTCTTCTCTGGTTACCCTTCTCATGGCTCGGTTCAAGAGCATTTTGCAAACCTGGACTTTGAATCTGGGAAAATGCTTTATGACCATTTTTATGACTTCAGAGAAATTCACTAAGGCAAGTTATTTCCTCATCTTTGCCAAAGGGAGGAAACTTAAGGGCCTGGTCAGTTGCCCAGGATCTCCCAGGCTCTGATGCTCACTTGCAGTGGCTCTTGTGAGCCTGGCCACATGCTGTCCCCTTCTAGTAGATGTGCTCTGGCTGCTTGGGGAGGGGCCAGTCAGCAGCTGCAGCCTACATTGTTACGGACTCCATGTCTTCCTCAGGAAGGAGGAAAGCCCAGTTCAGAGAACCGTGCACCCTCCAAGCTGCAAGCTTCTGATGCTGAGTTCTGGTCCCAACCAACTCCTTTAAACTTGGGCCAACTGACATCCAGAGAGGGAAAGTGATTTGCTTAAGGTCATAGCCCTGTCTCTGATTTCCAGCCCAGTGCATATTTTTTTATTCCAGCACTGTTGTCTCTTATTAGAAAATAACCTCAGTACCATGAGTGCTTATTCTCAGAGGCAGAACAGAATAGTGAGCTGGACAAAGGCTTTTTAAAATGTGAAGTACTTTTTGAAGATAACTATGCGAAATAACAACCTTTGTTAAGTTCCTACCACCTTGTTTTGAAAACCTATATTGTTATTGCTTGGGGGAGGTTTGTTATTATTATTTATGTCTCTTTTGTTGCTTGTATTTTTTGTTTTGGTTTTCCCCTCTTTAAAATAATAATAATAAAAAATGTGAGGTACTTGGGGTAATGGTTAGAACCAGGCCTCCGCTAGGCTGCCTCAGTTTCCATTCCAGCCCAGCTCTTCTTCGTGGTGTCCCTTTGCTTGGTTCATTGGGGGTGTCAGTTTTCTTCATCTGTGAAGTGGGGGGTAATCAGAATTCCCCCCAGCCTGCTTTTACAGGAAGGATTAATGAGCTAGCGTGTTGCAAGGGCTCAGAACCCTACCCACCACAGCACTAGACCACAGAAATGTCACTCACCATATCTTTGAGTCCCAAGTGTTGTTCGCTGGCTCTGTGACCCTGGAAAAGCTACTTGACAACCCTGAACCTGGCTTCCTCCTCTGTAGGAATAATCCTGGCCTAGGTGGTAGAACAGATTAGTGATCATCTGTCCTGGCACCTCTTTGTATTTAATGGTCGCATTTTCTCCTGCCTCCCAAAATATGCAATGTAGGCCTGACATGGGCCCCCGAGAGGACTCTGAGGGCTGGGCCTGCTCCCTGGTCTAGGGAAGACCTGCAGCTTCATTTGCTTCCAAAGAACATTTCCTGCGCTTTTTATTTGTCTGCATTGATTGGGCACTTGCTGAGTGGCACACACTCTTCTGGGCTTTTGCATTGCATTATCTTGTTTATTTGTACATTAATAGTGCCTGCAGCGTAAGGACTGTCATTGTCCCTGCTTGATAGACGAGGCAGCTGAGTGTCGGAAGGTAATAACTTACCCTAAGTTGCATTGTTAGTGAGGATGAAAGCCACATACTTGGACCCAGATCAGTCTAGCTTAGTTTCTTGCTGCTCAGAACTGTGCTAGGCCCTGGCTGCATATGAGTCCTGTCCGAGTTGGGATCACTCACAGGAACAACACCAAGGGAGGCTGGGGCATCTTCCTGGGTTAATCATTACCGCTTCACTAGCTGCCAACCGACAAGATGCAAGGCCAAGGAAGTGCGTGGTGCAGGTCCTCCCCCGCCCCGCCCCTCCGGCCAGCAAGCCACACCATCCACTGGGGCCTACGAGTGCGCCAGGTCCGCCAAGTTCCTTTCCCTGCGCGGCCCACGACTGGAGCCCATGAGGGACACCCTGGTGGGGACAACAGGAGGACGCTGTGCCTGGGAACTGGTCAAAGGGGACCTCGATCTGCAAAGAAGCTCTGGCCACTCACTGCTGGTGAAAGCACACAGCAGGAGAGTTGGGTGCGTAGACATATTTCCACCCCCAAAAGTGTTCCTAAGTGAGAACATCAGTGGCTGTCACTTTTTTTAAACCAGGTGAGACTGTAGGGCACTCTGCGGTTGGGCTGGAAGCCCAGACCATAGCCATCCTGAGGGTGGGCACTCAATTTCCCTAGAGGAGGCCTGGCACAAAGCAAAGGGGGCAGCAGGTGGGAGGTATGGGAAAGTGTGGGACTTGGGATGGACTCAGACTCCAGCTCTGCCTCATCCTGTTACATGCTTTGGGGCCTGAGCCCACTCCTGTTTGGACATGGTCGTTCCTCCCCGCCTAGGACGACGTTAGCAGGGGTGTATGTTGAATATGGGAGCAGAGGTGCTAATGGGATGCCCAGCCAAGGAGAGGGTTGGCAGACATCTTTCCTTTGCTCTCTGTGCACAGCAGCAGTGATTGAGGGGTGGACTGAGCATGGGCATGCTTGTTCTGCACATGCAGGGGGATGGGCTGATATGCCCAATGGTCCAGGGAGATCCCTGAACACATGTGCTAGGTATAGGTCCCAGACTTGAGGAGCTCCTGTGCCAGCGACAATCTTACCTGCCATGAGTCCTCAGCTTCCTCCTGTCCCCTGTAAATTCTACTGGAAGTTCGGGGGGCTTGAGCACTGGGGCATAGCCTCTCCACCTGCCTGGCACAGGCTTCTCCAGCCCCTGGGATCTTTGTGCCAAGCCTGACCCCTGGTCCATAGCAGACGGGGGCATTGCTTGAAGGGTAGGGGAGAAAAAACTCTGCTTCCCTCTCTCTGTTGCCACTGCTCGGCTGCTCTGGTTTATTTATCTCTGTCTGTTTGTGGGACATTTCTCCTGCTTTAGTTAAGACTCCAGCTGCATTAATCAGTACCCTTAACACTCTTATCTCGTCCTTTCTGGGTTTACTGAAGCATAGTGCCCATGCATCTTCTTCCTGGAAAGTTAACTTTAATTCTGGAGAGATTTTAGGTGCTTAACTTTGCAACTGCAAAGTCAGGAGAGGCTGGCATTGTGAAGGAGTGAGGAGTCAGGGAGAAGCAGGACATGCACCAGGGCTTGGTTTTGGATGAGTCATTGTTCTGTGGCAAAATTAGAGATGCTGCTTTGCATTTATCTCTATATGTACGTAACATCACAGCGATTGATTGATGTTAACTTTGAAGTTATCTTTTGTTGTTCGTCTTGGATTTAGAGTTATAATCAGTTTCACTATTATTATAATTCCTTAGAAAAGTCAGCCAAGTGAGCTGAATTTCCAGCCAAATTGTAATGCCTTCGCTTTTCTCCCTTCTTCCTATCTGCTCACCAGCCTCTTGCCCCAGCCTCCTGCCATTGGACCATTCCAGTGACCTGAGCTCCCTATTTCCCTCCAGACCTCACCTCTTCAGGCTGGTTTCCCTACAGGTGACCAGAGTGACTGATGGAAAACTTAAATAATGTTGTTTTGTTCCCTGTGATTCCATGGCTACCCACTACACACAAAATAAACTCCATCCCCCCATCATGGCCAGGAAAGCCATTGTCATCTGGACCATGCCTGCCTCCTGATGTCTTCATCATGCCCTTGTGTCCTCAACTGTGGGCAGCTGGGACTACTTCCTGTTCGCCTGGCTCCGGAGCATGCTTTCCTATGATGCTTCTTTCTCCTTTCCCATTGAATGCTCCCTCAGCTGAGGCTTCATGTACGATCTTTTTCTTTCATATAGTAAAACTGCCTACTTTTAAGTGGCCCTAGTTATTACCCTTCTCATCCATGACTTCAGAGACCCATCTGCTTGAACTTTTACTGAATACCTGGTTCCTGGTACAGCATCAAACATTGGGACCACTAGATATTTGCCAAAAGAAGGAATGACACAGTTCTTGAGCAGGGTCTTCTGAAAAGAAACTTGAAGTTATTCAGAGGCTTCCTTCCCACCTACCTAAGCCAGCAACAGCTCTTCTCTCCCTCTGACTGTCGGGATGCCCTGCCAAGGACACTGTAGTTATACCTATTATGTTACAGGGTGCTGTGTTCCTCACATCCTCTATGTGAGCCCGGTCTGGTTAACAAGAGCTCTGACCCTGGGCCCCTCTGTGGCTGTGGAAGAACACAACTCATTTGCCTGGCACAGCAGGCACAACCCCAACTTTAGAAAGCACTGGAAGCCAGTGTGTTGACAGTGACTATAACTGCTTTCCCAGAAGACTTTTTTCCTTACCCAGGGCATTCTCAGATGTATGTTGTCACATCTCTGCTAAAAACGACCATGGTAGGTCTATAGAGGCGTTGGTTCACGCTGCCCTATTCGCCATGAGACAGTTTTTTTGCTGTGCTGCTTATTGTCCTCTTGTGTCCCGTTAGGATGAGTAGCTGGAGAAAAGGTCCCAAGTGCATAGTTATGGAACAGCTGGAGAGAAAATGCCAGCCTGTTTTCTTTTCTCATGTAACTGGGAACTTGTCTTTTGGAATTTCTTAGCTATGTGACCATAGCTCTGTCGGTTTTTCCAGTTAACTTTTGTTCATTTGATAATTAGATGTAAATTTCTCCCTTACCTCAACTCTAAGACTTGGTGTACTGAAAGCTGCATTCAGAGAAAACAACTTAAAGACATCATTGAAATGCACATGGTAAAGGAAAAGACAGGTTCATCTTGTACAGTGTCCTCTAGACCAGGCTTGGTCATTAACTTAAGGCCCTGGGCCACTGCCACATCTGTCACAGGACATTCCTGCCACTAGCTGATTTCCCTGCAAGACCAAGTTATTCCCAAGAACTGGAGAAGCAGGACAGAATGTTATTTAAAGTGGATTGTGAGCATTCTCAGAGCCATCTCGCACTATTTTGATAAGCTAAATAGATTAGATATTTGAAATTCCTAGTGTGTATGTTCATAAGTGTTGATGTTCATGTCACCAAAGTTCAGCCATTCTTATTCTATATTTGTAGTTTTACCCATATTTCTCTGCCACTTGTGTTACTTACTTATTTACTAGTTTTCTTCAACTTAACTACATACTTCAACTAAGTTTATATGAAGAGGACACTCTGTATTTTAACTGTAGAATGCAAAGGTAGCATTATTGGGCATAATACAAGGTAATCATAAAAATACATAGTTATAAAAATATAATGTCCACCAAGGTAGAGTCTAGAATATTATAGAATATACCACCAGTGGTTCATCTGTCACACTTTGTGAAACATAGATATTTAAAGTAAGATTTTTTTCTTTTTTGCAGTGCTGGATTTTGAATCCAGGGCTCAGATATGCTAAGTACATTGTTTACCACTGGACTATATCCTCAGATCATAAATATTACTCTTATTGACCAGAAAGAAAGACACAGGGAACAGGGAATAGGAGGCACTACTGAAGTTCTTAGGGTTGTCAGAAAATTTTGATTTAACACTCAGAGGTGAATTTACCTCTTCAGGTTGATTAGAAAATGTGGTGGGAATTTGTCTTGTGGGCAGATCTGCTTTTGTCCTTTCATCTTGCCATGGAACATATGTTGGCAGTTACTTCTTTTCCTAGCATAAGATTTTGTAGGTGCTGTGAGCCCTCCTTGGTTCTGGGCATGGCTGGATAATACACTCTCACTGGTCAGTTCTGCAGACTGTAATGGCTGGGAGACATGTTCTGAGAAGGTGCTATTTAGGTCGAGTTGGCCCCAGAGATGAAAATAAATCTGAATCCCTGATACCGTGGTCTATTGGGCAGTTCCTAAAATCAGACCTAAGCACTGAAGTGCGTATAGCTTAGGTGATACATCGTTGCTGAGCTTAAAGAACTAAAGGGAAATTGGGGATTAATCAGTAGGGGTCAAGGAACTAGGAACTCAAGCAGAAAGGAATTCAATATGGGGGATTGGATACTTAGAGAATTTCTGGAAGAACAGAAATTAAGAGGGTACGGTTAGATTCTTGGCTTCAAGGCCAAACCGCCTTAGTTGAGCACCTATAGGTCTCAGTTATAGTGTTCGTGGAGTTAAGGCCGAGATCTATGCAGCAAAAATCCTAGGTACAGGGTAACAAGGAAGCAGTACCAGTGAGATCACGGGAAGGAGGGGAAAGTTTAGCTTGACCTGGGCCTTGTTGAAGTCTGGAAGAGAATATGGTCTGCAAGTTCTTGGTCAGGGAAGGTTGGAGATGGAGCTGGGTAATGCTACCACCTATGGGCTGCCACGAGGGCTTGAAAGTCTCCAGCTTCCCCTTTCTCAAAAATTAACTTGGCGCCTGGCATTGTACTGACAATGTGTTACATGCAGCATTTCAGTTCTTCTTCAAAATGTCACTTCTCTTCATCATACTCTCAGTGTGTCTAAATAACCCACTCATTGATATTAGACAGCTGAGCCATGGGACAAAATTTAGGCAAGGCTGACCCAGAATCCAGCATGCTGCATTGAGAAGCTATACTGCCTCTTCATGGTGGGAAGGGACGGTGAAGGTGAGACTGAGGGACAGATATTGTGAGTCCTGAAGATCAGGCCAAGGATTTGAGCTTGACCTCAGATGAGAAGGTGGGGGTTGTCACTGGAGGTTGAGGGCAAGACAGTGACATAATGGAGATGCACATGCCAGTGGATCTAGCAGAAGGATGTGGGCTTGATGGGCACAAGTAAAGGGCAGAGACCAGAGAGCTGCCAAGAGACAAGAGCAGTCGTGGAGCATTTTCTTCACCCAGGTTTTTCCCCTCCTTCTTCAGTGGTTTTTCAGAGCATGAACTTTTTCCCAACCATGCCTGGATCTCAGGTGGCTTTAGGTTTTCACTTTGGCCAGTGAAGCCAAAGTGTTTTTCCTTTACTCACTAATAGCTTTCATCTTTGACCATGGCCCAGGGTCAACATTCAACCACCATTTGTTCTCGTTGTTTCTTTTTTGTGTTGATGTTGAATGCCTCGACAGTGGCACAGATGACCTGTCTTTCTACTTGGTTGACTGTGCTCATGGCAGTGACTGGGAATGGTCCAGCCCACGTGGACACAGACAATGAGATGTGGGGCTTTGGGCTGAAAGGAGCCAGTTCTAGGTCCGCACATGAATTTCTGAATTCAGAAACTTGTGCCTTGAATCTCTCTATTCTGCCCCTTTGTGTGTGCGTGTGGAGGGGCTTATAGGTCTTGAGGACCTCAGTTACCTTGCCTGAACATCAGTCTTCCCTTCTGTATTGTTGAGACAATAATATTCCTCATCAGGCTATCACAGGAACTCAGTGAAGTCGTAAGTACAGTGTTTATCATGGTGGACATGCCTACGGGAGGAGTGCTGGAAACATTTTTCACCTTCCCTCTATGGCCTTTTGGGGTCTGTGGGAGGTGGTTCTGACCAGTAGAAGTCCATTGTTGTGAGCCTCGTCCTACTCAGTCCCAAGGCTTATTTCTAGTGGTCCTGGTCTTATCTCCTCTTTCTGGTGCCTGGCCAAGGTCTCAGCAGAGACTGACACACATTTTGACCTAGAAGAAGGACTAATGAGCCAGCTCCATCTCAGTTGTCTCCCAGTGAATCAAAGTCCATGCCAAGCACCAGCTGATAGTTCATCTGGCAGATACAGTGAACTTGCTAAGTCCTCCTCATTCAAATGTCTGTGTAGTTTCTGTAATTGGCTCAAGTGTGTCCCCTACCAACCCTGCCTGAGCAGCACCTGAACATGAACTCCTCGACCATCACGGCATCTCTGCCACTGCGAAGAGCTTGAAGCTTTTGCAGGTTTCCAAGCATCTGACCCATATGATTCCAATGACGTTTGGGAATTTTAATCTTCTGGTTATGGGTTTCCTAGTTTGAAATTGTTACTGCCATCCTCCTCTGCTGTGGGAAAATGGCTTTGAAAATATGTGGAGGAGTAGTTTGGGAGGAGTGTGAATGACAAGAAGGGACACTTCTGGGTCGCTGGAAGGGAGCTCTCACACTTGTTTCTGCCTGTGACTGAAGCACTGCTTTAGTGTGACTAACTGCTTCAGAAACAATGTTGGGGTTGTGGGGGGGCTTGAAATTAACACTGTGCTAAACTTTATGTTGAGTGTTTACCTGGGTGTGTCACAGCTCCCTTCACATGAATCCCACTGTCCAGACAGATAAAAACCAAGGGTCAGCTATGGTAAGTAATTTGTCTCATGTTCCAAAGTGATTGGTTGGTGGGGGGGATTATTAAATCTAGGTTGAACTGACTTCAAATCTTCAGTTTTCCCACCTTATAGGACTCTATCCTATTAACCTGTGGATTCTTGAGTGCAAACTCCTCAAATTCATGGCTCTGCAATGCTAGAACTAAATTGGCTGGTGATCTTTGAACCCAAGAGGGGGAACGACAGCCAGTGGGGGCATCAGACTCTGGATCCTGCAGGACTTCAACAAGGTCTCAGCCAGTGTGACTTCGTCCTGAAGGAAAGTGAATGAAATGTGAAGTTTCAGCAGGGCAGTGGTGGAAAGCCACATCAGCAGTGAAGGCCGGCCCTGTGACAATATGCCAGTCACTCTCCCTTTCCTGTTGGTTGGTCAACACATTCTTCTGCCTGTGTGAATTCTCGGAAGACCTTGATTTGGGGCTCCCAGGATAGATCATTCTCATGGCATGTAAAGAAGAGTGAAAGGGGATTCCAGATTCTAGTCACTGAGTTAGTCCTACTAATATTGAGACAATCATCTCCCTGTTGTCAAAACTCTGCTAAGAAGCAAAAGCCCCGGATGAGCAGTGTGAATGACCTAGTAGGTCTTCTTTTGGGCATGTAGTTGCCATTTGCAATCAGTTATCAGTTACAAGGACTCTGGGTACACCTGGGTGCCAGGCCGCAGCTGGCCAGGTTGCCTGCTGTACTGGCACAGGAGGAGAGGCATGCTGCTTCAGGGACTCATGGAACCCCTCCCTCACCCCAGTTTGAGAAATTCTTTCTCCTGCCTCTGCCAGTACAGACCAACATTGGCACATTTTTCCCGCTGAGCTTGTGCAAACTGTTAAGAGACCGGGGTCCCAGAGGCACTAATAGTGGCCACAGCAGCTGGGTAGGTGCCTTCTGAGCCCAGACTTTCCTTTCTTGATTCCCCCTCCCTTATTCCTTATATGTCAGCAGGTCCACCAGTGCCCTGAGAAGCCCTACGTTGTGTACTTGAGGGACTTTCAGCAGTCATTAGTAGGGAGCCAAAACACAGGAGCTTTTACACGAGTAACTTTTTTTTAGGTAAGGTCTAGCTTTGTGTAATCCAGATTGGCTTTAAACTCACTGTGTAGCCCAGGCTGACCTCCAACTCATGGTGATCCTCCTGCCTCAGCATCCTGAGTGCTGGGATTACTGGCATGCACCACCACACCCAGCTCACATGAGTAATTTGATGGAGAAAATCTTTTACCTGCCCTGAGTTTCAGCCCAGGACCTCAAATTTAGAAGAGTACATCATGGCAGCTTCTGGGTGCCCAAGGGAGACCCTCTGCTTTCACTAAATGTACAAACTTTGGTTAATGCAGATGTGACCTTAGAGATGGCTTCAAACATCTTCCCCCCAACACTACTGTCTGCACCCCTGAATCTTGGACCTACCTCAGTGAAGTGTGTATTCAGTAATGAGGCAGAGGGCTGTGCCTGCTTCCGACCTGCCTGAGTTTTGTGGGTTCCTCTGGACATTCCAGCATTTGGGGAACAATCCACAGCCTCACCATAGAAAAGAGGGGACCCTAGTTGCACCCAGGAATCCAGACAAGTCTGCCCCCTCATGGGTGCATCTGTAGGCTTTCAAAAAATCTAAGCAGGTCCTTAAAGTTTGAGAAGCAAGGAAAACTCACCTTCTCTTTAAGATATCGAGTGTGAATTAATTCTTTTTCTCATTTCTAGGTAAAAGCCCTGGGCCCTGCAGAGAAAATTCTGCTTCGACTAAATTGCTTTACTCTGAAAATTCAGGCCCTGAACTGATCGTAAACTAAATTACCCTGAAATGTAAGCTGAGACTCTGGTTGGCCAGCTTGGTTGGCAATTCTTTGTCTTTCTAAAGAGAGAGAAAAAAGAAAGGACGTACCTCTATCCGTAGGTGTGTGTGTCTGTACGTGTACACCTGTGTTTTCCTTGCACCAAGATTGCAGAGTAAGAGTGCCTGGGATGAAGCCAGGTCCCTGGTACCTGCGATCCCAGGCTGGTCTCTAGTCTTGGGTGATTTTTTTATGCTCCCAGATTCGGAAGATTTCCACAACAGGGAGACAAAGTGAGGCCGGATGAACCCTGGGGTCTCACCTCGGACCCAAATGTGTGCTTTAATTCGTGTCAGATAAGTTTCCCCCATGGGATTACAGATTGGGAATTTCAGAAGCACAACAGATAACTTTATTTCTGCAGGGAGGTTTTATTTTTAACCCCTGAAGTAACTGTATAGTTTATTTTTCCTTATCCGATTGCGATCTCCCCAGTTGCTGACAGTTCGCCTTTGAAATGAACGGCTTTGATCAGGGATGTGGCGGCCAGACAGGTCATTTTTACTGTCTTGTAACTTAGTCCAACCAGTTTGGCAAGAGCAAGGCCACATCCCAGGGTAGGGAGTGGAAATTGTGGATGTAGAGTTCGGCTTAGTTAACGAAGCCTCAGCCCCTGGCGGTACCCTCCCTTCCCTGCACCCAGGGGTCCTGGCAAAGCAGCTTTCTTTGCCAGCCCTTCTCTAGGGCCATAGAGGTGAGCCTACTGTTCTCACCTCCCACACCCCTCGCTTTGCAGACCAGACTTCTGAATGGTAAAGCTTTGTCTTCACTTGTCCTGGTCCATTTCTAGGGCCCCGCTTGCCCCAGGATAGTTCAGGATCTTCATCTTTGTCAGGTAGGACAGACAGCCTGTGGTTCTGCCAGTGGAAATTCAGGTCAGGCATGTGGACCTTGGTGGCCCTTCAGGTCATGAGCCAGGGTGACCGTACTGGTGTTTGTGTTGGCACGATGTGGCTGAACTGGAATATGCTGGTCTTCCGGAGGCATGGTGAGAAAGGACAGCTTCCAGAGGAGTAAGGCTAGTCAGGTTTGAACCCCAGCACCATCCTTACCAGCTCGGTGATCTTGGACAAGTTATGCTGCCTGAGCTTAAAATGTAAAATGAATAAGGTAACAGCCCAGACCCTCCAGGGTTGTGAGGATTCGATTAGAAGTTCGTGTAAAGCCTCCGTGTATGTATGACATGCAGCGTGTATTAAATAAACACTGAAATCACTGTGTTTATCCCCATTACTGTCGTTGGTACCATTCCCCAGCATCACCTTCTGTTCAGAGGACAGAGCTGAAGCCTTGCCCTCTGAGGATATTGGTAGGAATTCAAAGTACTTCCAGGGTACAAACATTCCTGGAAGAAGCTGGATGCTGCTTTTGTCTTTGAAGCGGTGGCAGGATTCATCTCGGGGATTCTCCTCACCAGAGCAGGCCCAGCAAAAGGAAGACTTTGCCTGGTAGCGTGTCAGGTGGCTTTCCTAGGGGCCAGGCACAGTCTTCAGATGTGAGAGCCAGGATGGGAAATCCGGCAGGGGATGGGCTTCAGGGCTTGGGAGGCCTCCCCAATGCCCAGGGCTCTAGGATTCAGGCAGGCTCTGTTCTATTTGTTGTTCAGCAAAGCTGAAAGTGCCACATGGGCACAGACACTGTACGATTGGGAGGCCACCCCTGGCCACTGTCTTCTGTGGCCTAGCTTCTGGTGGTTGCACCTTTTAAATAAGATGAGGTCTGTGCTTTTCCTTTTAGCTTAGTGGAATGATTAACTGAGGTTGCTTTACTGTGCGGGCATGATTAAGAACACTATGACAAATGTTTACTCCTCCTGGTGAATGATATTTGAGGAGAGAGACTTAGCCAGGACAGGCAATTTGCAGAATCTTGATGGCCCCGCACAAATCAGCTTCTTCACAGCCAGGCGTGGAGGCACACTTCTACAGTCCCAGCACACAAGAGGCTGAGGCAGGAGGGTCATGAGTTTGAGGCACATGTGGGTTACACAGCAAGTTCAACGCCAGTCTGGACTACATAATGAAATCCTGTCTCACAAACCAAAACAAAAAGCAAACAGAAAGAATGAAAAACAAATCAGGCTTCTAGGAAAGCCTCAGATTCCCAAATTTAGCATGTTTTCTTTCCCAAGAAGCTGTTAACCCTTCTGAGAGGGCACAGAGAACTGGGCTGTAGCTCTCTCTCTACTGATTGTAAACCACCCTTTTGATCACAGAGACAGGCCTCCTGGCCCATCCCTTACAACTTTGTCGTGGCTTTGTGCAAAGACAGTCCTGCGTTCCAAGCCGAGATTTATTTTTACCAGCGATACAGATGTTTCTGCTCTTGTGCAAGATTTCATTAAAGCTCAGCCAGCGGTTTACCGTGGCAGGAGACTGCCAAGGTTAATATTTCCACAGTACATTCCCTTCTGTTCATTTCTGGCACCCAGATATCCCCAGGTGGGCATATTGTGCTGGTGCCATAGGTAAAAACTATGCAGCAAAATCGCCAGCACATCTGTTTAACTCAGAGGGAGCCTCCGATCACAGTGTGGGCTTTGGCTTGGGGCTGCAGGCAGAGCCCGTGTCCTCCGGACAGACCAGGTCACTCTCTGTTGGCCCCTTTGGCCACACAGAACTCTGGTCACACCGCAGAGGCTGCCACTTTAGCTGCTCAGGCTGGGTACCGGGGTGGCCAGAGGCCAAGGGAACCTTGAGCAGTGTGAAGTGCTCTGGAGGAGCAGAGCTTCAGAAAGAGACAGGTGTGGATGTGAACAGCGCGTGTGCATTGGGCAAGTCCGTTACCTGTCCAGAGCTTCGAGAACTAGGAAACGGTCAACAAGCAGGGCCCCTGTCCAGGATTATTCAGCAACGAGAAAGGAAAGCTTGGGTGGGTGGGGATTCAGGATGTGACAAGAGTGATGTGGCATCATGTGACCGGAGGCCAGTTTGCTCCTGGAGTTTTACCATGGAATTTCTAAAGTCAGGTCTAAAGTCAGATCTAAAGGTATGGTGGTATATACCTATAATCCCAGCACTCATGAGGCTCAGGCAGGAGGATCTTTGTGAGTTAAGGCCAACCTGAACTGCATAGCCAGACCCTGTCTCCAAGACAGAAAAAAAAAAAAAAAAAATTATTCAGATCGTCTTGGGAAGTATCTGATTTCATACATTTCAAGTATTTCATGTTTCCTTTATGTCTCCAGTTTGTAAATGTGTACGCTCCCACTAGCTTTGTAAGATTTCAGTGAGGAAGGGAATAGGGAAAGGTTATCCGTTTTACAATTATGATTTCACCCAACGTCTGTCTGGTGTCCAGAGTCCTCTTCTTCATGGCTTGAGAGCTGCCCCTCTTTCCTGCTGCAGCCATAGTTATGGTTCCCAGTCCTGAGTCACATGAGACATCCAAGTACCAAGTGAGTCTCTGACAAAAGGCAGCCTTCTTTTATCCAACTGAAAGGCAGGGTAGATTTTATTCCATCCCTTAGCTCAGTTACCAGTGTCCAAATCTGTGGATGGGGTGGTAGAAAAAGGCTCTATTAATCAGGATATTGTGATAACCAGGACAGGCTACTTACTTCCTGGCTGGGTTACATGACAAATGACAAAGTGGATAATGTGTCCCCTGACTGGTTTCTTTGTAATCTGTCACATCCATTCATGCTGCCTCTTCCCTTTTAATCTGTCCATCCGTCTCTCCCTCCACCCACCTGTCAGCCCATCCACTCATCCATCTATTCATTCAACTAATATATTGACACTGAGGTGGCACCATACTCAAGTTTAGGGAATATGGAAATAATAATCATGGATCCTGTCCTTAGGGACCATAATAGGTAAAGTAGGTAACAAGACACTTGAGTAAATGAACAACAACCAAAAAAATCCAGTGAAAAAATTGGGAGAAGGGAGTAAGACTTGCATTTGAATTCAGGGCTTTTTGAGAAACCCACAGGACCCCAGTTTGTGAAGACTGCGTTCCAACCACAGGCCCAGAGCTTGGAAAAGATGACACTCCAGGAAATCGCCAATGGTGGTTACACTGGAGTGATGTTGAAGAGTGGGAAGTGATGTGGCCGGTGGGAGAGCTCGTGGCTCTGACTTGATCCTGGACGCACACTGACCGATGCTGACAGGAATCCCCCTTTAAAGGTTCTGAGGTTTCTGGGGCTGTCTCCCGGATGGGTGTTGGCCACTTCTGCACAGCCAGGTGTATGTAGTTGCAACCCACATTTTCTCCTCTTCTGGCTTTGCCTTGACCTATCCTCTTCAGCTTTCCTCATTTTCATTAACAGTTTTTCCACTGTTTGGGGCATCTCCATGATATCTGCTTTCCAAAAGCCTCACCTCTCAGTCCTCCAGGAATATGGAGTGTAGGCATGGGCTCAGGCTCCATGGCCTCTTCTATCTTTGGAATCTGCCCCTTGACTATAAATAAGGCTGTTGCCTAGTGCCAGTATTGATGGTATTTGCAGCTGTCCTCTGGGAGATGGACTCAGCCGAATAACCCATTTTCCAGAGGACATGGCCATTAGGTGACAGCTATTTATGGTTGCTATTGACCAGGGCCAAACCTGAACTGTCACCAACATTAAAATTTCATGTGTTGGGAGCTGCCTTTCCTTATCAGGCTGTCTCTTCCTATTTATTCAAAACAGCTAACCATGCTTCTTTAAAGAGACGAGCTACTAAATCCTGAGGCTCTCTGCTGGTCCAGCTGCTGAGACTTTTTACCTAGCATCCTTGTGAGGCGCCGTGCATGCAAAACTTCCATTTCATAGAGGCGAACACTGAGGGTCAGAAGGTGAACCGGCTCCCCCAGAGTCACTGGGTTAGTTTGTAAGTGGCAGAGCCAGAATTCAGGCCGGCTTCTTCCTGGAATCAAAGCCTGGATAATTTCCATGAAACCATGCGTGTCTGATTTCTTGACCTGGAATGTCACTGTGGAGGTTTTTATTTATTTATTTTGTCCCCTGACAGTTCGGTCACTTGGAGCTAAGTAGTCAATTGAACACGCACTTTTGAAAAAGCTCATTCATGCTGAATTTGCTTTGGTAGATACAGGGTTCTATCTTTACAGAATTTCTTTCCCATTCCCTTATACGAAAATAAATAAAATGTCAGGCGAGATTCCTTCTGGCTTTATAATCTCATGCGCCTTATAGATGGCTGAATTCTCCAGTGAAGTTCTCAGAGGAAAAGATTCCTGTTTGGATTCTGTTTCTCCATCAGAGGGCTGTTACACTGTAAGGGATAACTGTTTCTTCGTGGTCTGGACATGGACGTTCTGGGTTGGAAGTTGTCCTGTGTCAGTCACCTCCACTGTCATCAAGCACTTTCATCTCAAGTACCTGCACTACTTCAACTGAAACTTGCAATACGATAGGCCCAGGGCCAGGGAGACAGAACTTCTTGATCTCTCGCATTAATATTGCTTCTTAGAGAAAGGAATGTATAATAATTAATAATCTGGTCTTTGAGAGCAGAACTTGAACTTGGTTGAGTATCGGCCTTGTTTCTTGTTAACTTCTGAACTTTGGGCACATTACATCTGAATCTCAGTGTTCATTCATTTCCTTCTCCCCTTCCTCTCCTCCATTCTGTCTCTCTTCCTGTCTCTCTCTCTCTCTGTCTCTGTCTGTCTCTGTTTTTTTCTCTGTCTCTTTGTTTCTTTGTCTCTCTCTCTGCCTGTCTCTGTCTTTTCATATATCTCTCTGTCTCTCTCTGTCTGTCTGTCTCTCTGCCTCTCTGCCTATCTCTCTGTGTATCTGTCTCTCTGTTTGTCTCTCTGCCTGACTCTCTCTGTGTCTTTCTGTCTCTTTCTGTGTGTCTCTGTCTGTTTATCTGTCTCTCTCTGTGTATCTCTGTCTGTTTCTCCCTGTGTTTCTGTACTGTCTCTCTCCCCCTCTGTCTCTGTCTCTCTGCCTGACTGTCTCTGTGTCTTTCTGTCTGTCTGTCTCTTTCTGTCTGTGTGTCTCTGTCCGTTTATCTGTCTCTCTCTGTGTATCTCTGTCTGTTTCTCCCTGTGTTTCTGTACTGTCTCTCTCCCCCTCTGTCTCTGTCTCTCTGCCTATCTCTCTGTCTGTGTGTCTGTCTCTCTGTGTCTCTGTCTGTCTCTCTGCCTGACTGTCTCTGTGTCTTTCTGTCTGTCTGTCTCTTTCTGTCTGTGTGTCTCTGTCCGTTTATCTGTCTCTCTCTGTGTATCTCTGTCTGTTTCTCCCTGTGTTTCTGTACC